ACTCTCTCTCAGCTTCCACCTTTCTTGGACTAGAAAAGCCGAGACTATCGGCTACGCTTGGCACTTCCTCGCCACATATCAAGAGAGACAAATACCTCCGCTGGTGAACGGTTAATCACTACGTCTGGAACCTCTACTCGCCAGAGAGAAAGTGTTCTAATTGTCGTCGACGAAGAAACTACTCGGCACAGAGAAAGGGAACTATCACAACCATCGCTCTATATCAGGATATCGAACCCCCTGGACCTCAAGACGGCTTAATCCAATAGTCCAGGTACCAAACATCAACCCCCCCGGGATGGGTTTTGTTCCCCATCCAAGACGCAGCAGGGAGGCAAGTACCGGAACGTCGGATCTCACCGTTACGTCGGCGGCCGTGGCCTCGTCCGAGGCGGGATCCTCGGAGCCGTCGCCGCCGTTGTCGCCTCCGTTGTTACCGCCGTTGTCATTGTCGTCACCGTCGTCATTCTTGTCGTGGTCGTCATGACCATCGTAACTGGTGCCGCCGCCATCGTTGTCGTCGGTGTTGTCGTCGTCGGTACTACCGGCTCTCAGAGCCCTTCTGGTGCCGGGTACCCAGTCGTCCCGGCGCTTGATGTTGGATACACTGAACGGCCTCACACCCTGATGCAGGAAGGATTCAGCGAAAGGCACAAGTGTCACGGGGCCACGTGCAGCTGGTGTTAAGTTGAAAGGTGCGGCGGGCCGGCGCGGTGAAGCCGTGGGTCTTACCGACCGTGCGAGAGAGTCCCAGTGGGAGACGAGAAAATTGCGCGGTAAGAATTCATGTTCCGCGGGAGGGGGGGGGGGTAACATCTAAACAGGATGGGAGTATTACAGGCTCCAAAATGGCCTAGCGCCGGATGGGCCGAGAAACGGCTGCCCGCACCAGATTTCACTTGTTATTATCTCTAGTCTAGGAAGGCATCGAGAGATTGTGCTGATCAAAAACGTAATAGGACACACCACCCGGCACGCACGGCACCGCGCCCGCCCCACCACTAACCCAACAAGAGCAACAAGTGAATAGCAGTGTTTACCCGGATAACGGGCTTTCTGGCTGCCCCGTCGTTCGTCGTGGCGGGGTCGGCGGTGGTTGTGGCGACGGATGAGGCATCTTGCTCAAGCGTGTGGGGGGCCTATGTAGTCGGGGCGCAGGGAGACACGTACAGGGCGTACGAAGAACATCGGGAAATAAATCAAGAACATTGAGAAATGAACCGGAGTCGGACCAGAGCAGTAGAAGACACGACAAAAAGAAAGAATATCGCAAAATATGGTGCTCTTTGCGTGCAAAGGAAGAAGGAACACACCATGTGCACGCCGCTGGTGGGGACTAGCTCACCTCCAGAAGTTTTCCCATCGCTGGTTCGCCGTCGCTCTTGCTTTCTTCCCTCGTGTTACGATGACGCTTTTCTTGCCTGGTGCTTATGTAGTCTAAGGTGCAGCCTGTCACTTGGTCAAGGTCGGGTGTGGACGTTCCCTTGTTCCCGTTCTTTTGCGCTAGAGGCTTTGGCCCGCCCCCGTTTACGGTCCTAGAGTACCGCGCGGAAGACACGGCTGCGTCCAAAACGAAATAGATGCGGCGAGGGGAATGGTTCGAAAAGAGCAGCTAGCGCTAATAGGCCACGATATTTGCGCAAGCTTCCCTTTTCGAACCATTCCCCTCGCCGCACCTGTTTCGTTTTGGACGCAGCCGTGTCTTCTGCGCCGTACTCTAGCACCGTAAACGGGGGCGGGCCAAAGCAGCATGCGTAGGAAAACGGGACGTCCACACCCGGCCTTGACCCAGTGACAGGCTGCACCTTAGACTACATAAGCACCACGCAACAAAGCATCATCGCAACACGAGGGAAGAAAGCAAGAGCGACACCGAGCGTCTACTGAGAAGGAAGATGCAACAGAACCACCCTACCATATATTGAACCGAAGAACCCCAGAATGAATACATCACGGTTTGAGCCAGTGTGTGCGTTTAGCAACAGCAGCACAAGGATATGGGGTACTGACAGCGGAGAGCAAAGCGCCATCAATGGGAGTTGGGCCGTGCCAAATTTGAGCACAGGTCTATTGTACGCGCGGCCGTTCATCATGCCGGCGCGGCCGCCGGCGGTGTTTGTGGGAGCGGCCGTGGGATCTTGCTCCAGGGCGGGGGAGGGGCTTTTTGTAGTCGGGGTGGAAGGAGACACGTACAAGACTTACCAAGAACATCAGGAAGTTTATCAGAGTTGGAGCTGCGCAGTAGAGGACACGACGAAAGTAGCAATATCGAAAGACGTACTCTACATAATTGTGCAGAGCAGGAAGGGTTACCCTACGTACGTGCACGCCCCTTCGTGGGGACTATAATCATCTGAAGCGCTTTTGGGCGTGTGTTGGCGGTGCGATACCAGCACTATCCCGCAAAACTATTTCCCCTCGCTGCACCTGATTCGCTTTGGACGCGGCCGTGTCGGTCGCGCCGATCTCGAGTTTCAAAAACGGCGAGTCGAGGCCTTTTCCCTGCGAGAGCCCGACGGAGAAGTCCTTGTCAGGCCTTGCCCCCGTGGCAAAGCCCGAGCTTAGCACTGTAGGTATCAGTTCTAAGCTGAGGCTTCCCAGGAGGGCAAGGGCGGAACAAGGACTTCCCCGTCCAGCTCGTGCAGGGAAGCGGTCTCGACACGCTCTCTCGTTGAAACTTTTCGAGATCGGCGCGGGCGACGAAGACGCTTCCGAAGAGAAGCAGGTGCTGCGATGAGGGGTGTGTGTTGTACAAGATAGCGCTGACATTTCAAAGCCAAAACCACGCCCAAGAACGATGGGGGGCGAAACGCTGCAGGTGAGCCTAGCCCGCACCGGGGGCGTGCACTTGGTGTAATCCTTCCTGCTTTGCGCATGGAGTATCATCACTGCGCATCGTCGCGGTTTGTCGTGTACTCTATCGTGCTGCTCCCACTCTGATTCATGTTCTTGTGTTCTTGGAGGGTCCTGTGCGTGTCTCCTTGCGCCCCGACTACAAAGGTCCGCCCCGCCCTAGAACAACATACCGCACCAGCCGTCACCGCCACCGCCGACGCCTGTGCCGCCATGATACCAGGCGACACCAGCGTCAGCAAAGAACGAGGGCAGAAGGCAAGACCGACACCAAGCGTCCACTGAGGAGGGGGATGCAACTGAAATACACATCATCACCACCACCACCACGAACAACAACACCTACAACAACAACAATAATATTCAACGACAACGAAAACAACAACAATAATATTCAACGACTACTCACGTCGTCATTTTTAGCATTCTGGTCGTCGGGATCGATAAGGGCGATGGCCTCTTGCACGAGCGAGACCCATGCGTCTAACTCCGACTGGCTTTCCGCATCCAGCGTCCACTGCGGTTCGTGTTCACCGCAAACGACGCACAATAGCAAGGTAGCACGGTTGGTGGAGAAGAAACGCGACTAGTTCGACACACAGTCCACAACACGACATACTCTGGCATTGTTCGGGGGGATGGCGAAGGAAACTAAGACCCTGGTTGCACGCGAGGAGAAGGCGACGGCAGCAATTGACGCAGCATGGGGCCACGCTGTCTTGCACACTTGGGGTATAATGTTGAGGAGAAGAGATCGCAACCTACTTTTTGGGACATATACAGCGCGAAGTGACGCAGTACAGCATGCCGTTCAATGGTTTCATGCCATACAAGTATATGAATGCAGCTGATCAGGGGATACTTGAAGACGGCCAGTGCACCGTTTAAATGGCAAACGTGGTGATCATTACGCCGATAAGCACACAAACAATAGCATCAACGAGTCGAAAACCATTCTCTCCCGACCCTGCCCTGAGGGTGTACAGAAAGCGCATTGCTTTGTCACCTTGGACGGTGTTCACCGTCCACCATAATGGATCAACGACACATCGGTCCACCCGCGGGCAGGAGCGGCACTCACCTTGGTGTGCATCTTCCCGCGAGGAGCCTTGGTCACGACGCGGAACATGAACCGTTCGCCATCCGCCTTCCTGACATCTTGCTCGGAGAGTGCAACGACCTCCGAAGACCGGCCCAACCGTTGTTCCTGAGAAGTGGTAGCGGTACATTGTGATTGTCATCGTTGTCACATTCGCGGGAACGCAGGTGGGAGCAGAATGAAAACGTAGGAATTTCGGGGGGGGCGAGGGCACGAGGGTGGACGTGAGCCGGCGTGGGAGGAGAGCACGACGAACCATTTCACAACCCATGGATGATGCCCCCCGTTTCCGTTTTTCCGTTGACAGCGAAATAATAACCGAATGCCTGCTGCTTCGACTGTAACATCTCGTTCCTCCGCAACCTCTTCGTTTCACCGTTAGTTAAGGAAAACGCGAAAGAAATACCAGAGGCTTCGAATCACTTGCTCTCTTTTTTATCGCACGACACATGCCTTGCAGGTGGGCTGCTGCTTGAATACACCACTCTTAGCGTGGCATAGCCGCAGGACTGAGCCGGAGACGAGCGCGAGGTCTCGGGTTTGCCACCCTCTGAAGGTGGTCTTGTGGAGCACCTTTCCTTCCTTGCGAAACTGAAGCTGTACAGCGAGGGTTTGGCGCAAGAACGGCAGGAGCACGAAGAGAGGGTGTGGTGCGAGAGGGGGGAAGTGGGTACAACGTTTCAAGACACAGAGGAGTGCAGGAGCGATCCCACCTCCTGCAATCGAAACGAAGATACCATCACAATCATCTTTCTGTATCAGGACAACGGACCCGCTAGACTCCAAGATGGCTGCATTGAAGTAGTACAGGTGCATAATACCACCCCCCCCCCAGATGGGCCTCCGAGATGGGTCTTGCCTTCGACCAAGACGTCGCAGGGAGGCAAGTACCGCAAAGTCGGGTCTCACCTGAACGGCGTCGGGCGTGACATCGTCCGAGGCAGAATCCTCGGGACCATCGCTGCCATTGTTGTCGCCGTTGTCACCGCCGTGATCGGTATTGCCACCGTCGTCATCACCATCGTTGCCGCTGCTCTTGCCGCCGCCATCGGTGTCGTGACCAGCGTTACTTCTGACTCTCCGAACGCTCCTGATGGCGTTTACCCAGGCGTCCCGGTTCTTGGTGTCGGAAGCACGGAACGACCACACACCCTGGTGCAGGAAATAATCCGCAGAAGGTCACGGGGCCACGTGGAACGGGTGCTGAGGTGAATGGGGCGTTGAAGCTGTTCTGTTCACCATGAAAATGCTCGGGAGAGCCCGCCCCATAGGGAGACGAGCAAAACGTGGTTCATTTCTAGCGGGGGGTTGGAGGGTGAGTTCGAGAGAGGGCGTGGAGTGATGGTCAATACAGTGCTGCGGAGAGTCGAGAGATTGTTCTGAATAACTAACGCGAATGGAACACCCCCCCTCGGATGCGCACCGCACTGCTCCCGCCGCGAGCGGAAACCAACAAGAGCAACAAGACGAACAAATACCGACATGTACCAAAACATCTATTCCGTCGGTTCGAAGTCACGTGCTACGGAAATACAGCTGTATTGTGTTCAGCTGCCTAAAACCTCATACGACCGCACGTGTCATCTGATGAATTGCAGGTGTCCTCTTAGCCCGAATAAACAACAAATATGCTGGGGAAAATTATTTGAGAGGGTCGGGATCCTCAGGGAAACAGGGCAGTATTCAAGGTATTCACGTGTTCACCGTACTTTCGGTCGAAAGCATGTTTGTGAAACAACTCAAGAGGGTGACACTTCTGGCGTTTCTACGATAAGCAGCATCGAAGACCGTCATTACCTCCCTCACATCGCGCGGTCCATAGTGCGGAGCAACGCATTCTGTTTTGGACTGTACAGCGCGTTCTTTTTTGGACCGAGAAAAAATTTCTCCGAGTTTTTAAAATTGGTTCAAAGTTGGTACTCGGAGTGGGCGAAGTAGGCGCTTACATGCACTTCAAGTACGCAGAGGAAGAGAATACGCCTAAGCGTCTCGCGGTTCTCTCCATCACTCGTTCGTAAAAAACGCAGTGCGCTGCTGCTCACCTTAGGGGTCTTGACCACGAAGCGGTCGGTGGAGCCTTTGTGGGAGGTCGGCTCAACAGACGTACCCCCGACGAGAAGAATGACCTGCTTTGATTGACGCGGTAGGGCGCAACAAGCAGCGAACAGTCGGGGTGCGAGGAGACATGGGCAGGGCGCACAAACAATACCGGAAACAGAAATCAAAGCAGCAGCGGCGCCGTGGAGGACACAGCAACAACAATACAAATTCGGAGAGGTGACAGTCTACTATAAGTGCAAAGTAGGAAGGGCTACGCACCAAAACAGACATGCCGCTGGTAGGGACTGGTCCAACAAACCGCTAGCATTTTCTAGTCGGCCGTGCGTAGTCTCTGCAATGCCAGCGCGAGCTAACCGGTACAAACTACTCACCTTCTTGGCTTTGCCGGCGTCGTTGGCGTCCGCGCCGACCTTGAACAATCTGAGAGACGGCTGGTCGAGGCCACGTCCTTCCACGAGGTGGGCGGAGAAGTCCTTGTCCGGCATCGTCCTCCTGACGAGCCTCAGCTCGGACTACAGTATCAGGTAAGAAAAGCGTCATCGCAGCACGATGGCAGAAATCAAGAGCGACACCAAGTGTCCACTGAGGATGGAGACGCGACAGAAACACCCCCAAATGGCTATGTCATGGGAGTGAGGCCTGAGTGTTTACGTTTTCAACAACAGCGCACCGAGATGGAGTACCGATAGCGGAGCGAAAGAGACGCTTCTCAGGAATTGAACAACCCTCACCTTGACCACAGGTGTGATGTCTGAGGTGTATTGTGCGCCGTCGTTTGTCCCGATAGCGGTGGTGGTGCGCGCGGCATCTTGTGCCAGGGGGCGGGGAACCTCTATCGGCTTTTCGGGCAGCTCCGGCGCAGAATCAATCCCAGCCGCATTTGCGCCGCCCCCATCGCCGTCACTCGAATCGGCTGCAGCGGTAGCGGTGGCGGGAACACGGGGGGGGACCCATCTTGCTTACATTCGGTGGAGGCTTTCCTTGTTTTCGGGCTTGTCCCCCTCAATGTATCAACAACATGTCCATCTAGCAAGCCCTTGGTTTCTGAAAGTGGCTTGCTCTGTTTGTTAAGGTAGCGCTATGATACAGCACTATTGTGGCACACAAGGATCGTCTCACCGTTCTGCCTCTTCGAGACATAAGAGAGGGTGACTGGCGGTTACAAGCACTTCGTATTGGCGAGGAGACAAAATGATAGAAAGACCTTAGGGAACCAGATATGTTTGAGAGGTGAAACAACTAAGGTGGTCATCGTAGCGGCTAAGTGTCGACCCCTTCAAGGACAGATCGGCTCGTGTTGGAACCGATGAAGTTTCCACTGAGTTATTCCACGGTGAGACGTTGTTCACGAAGAGTGGGTTAGAGGCACGGCTAATTCTCCACCCAAGACTCAGGAAAACAAGGACATCAGCAAGATAGGCACATGGTTGGAGCGATGGGCGTGTGTATGACGACCGTTGCCTTCACGGCGAAGAAGACGACGCGGATACAACAAGCAAGCAATGCTTCGTTGCTGCATTGGGCCAAAAAAGAGACAACGTAGTAGCGTAGTTCAAACAAGAGAGAAAACGGAATTCAAACGGAACAACACAACTACCCTTCTATTTATCTCTACGCCCTCCTCTCGTCCGTTGCTCTCGAAACAGCCTACCAATGCATTGCGTACTGAGCCCGAAAAACGAGAAAGAATCTGCCACGTACCATGCGATGGACGACCATGATACCCGTTGGCGTTGCTGTTGGATCCGTCTGTGTTCTGATGACTCCCCACGTGCCCAATGGTTTTAGAGGCATCGGTTGTGGAGGTGGTGACCTTGGCGGCCGTGGCGGTGGCGGTGGCGGTGGCGGCGGCGGCGGCATCAGCGGCGGCGGCGGCGGCCGTTGGTTCTTCCCGTGAAGCTGTGTCACCAGAGCCATTGAAACGATCGACCACGTTGCTATCGATAACAGAAGCCGCGGGATCGGAGCGGGAGAGGGTGGTAGTGCTTTCGGGCTCGGTACTGTTTGCCGTTGTTCCCGGCACGAGCGGCCCCGTCGGAACAATCGCAGGATCGGCGGCGGCGGCGGCGGCGGCGGCGGCGAGAGCCGCGAATGAACCAGCCAACGTGTCTCTGGGGTCGGCGGTCTCTTCGTCAGTGGCGGTGGCGGTGGTGGTGGAGGTGGTGATTGCCGTGGTCAAGCCCAGGTCGGCTCCGTTCATCCCCTCCGTTAGCTCAGCAACCACGGGGATCGTGGCAGAGATCGGAGTGTTGGTTGTGTGGTAGGCGTCGGCGTCAGTAACAATGGCGGCGGTGGTGGGGGCAGTAGCAGCGGCCGTGCCAATCGCCGATTCCTCCTCCGTTCCAGCAGGCACCTGAGGGAGCGTGGGAGAAACTGAAACGTCAGCCGTGTCGTTGGTGTCAATTTCGGGGATGTTGTTGATCTCGGATACGACGTCAGGTTCAATTTTTTCCGATATATGTACACCGATACGGTGGACGGAGGAGAGGAGTGGAATGGGAAAAAAATGGTAAGTTGAGGAATGCGGTGAACAGTCGTTGTCGGGGCCAGAGAATGGGACCTGTTCTGTCAGGAAACAACGCCCCCCTGGTTGCCCCCCCCCCCCTCGGTCCTACAAGCACAAGCGACGTACAGTCTAGGTGTCGTCGTGCACGGAGTATGTTTTCTCGCAAAATCTGTCAAAACGCGGATTTGTTGGATTGCCCTCCGGGGATGTCAATGCCGAACTGCGTTAATCGCAAAATAATCTCGCCTCAGTGCTGCCTACCATGATGCTTGCGTCACTGCTTACTGCTGTTCTGGTCTACCAGAGGTATGTATATGGCTGAACCCTTGTGGTCGGTGATGGTGTGCTAGGAGGTGGACACGCAAAAATCATCTTGTGCGCGCCCACTTTTGAGCGCATCACCATTATCAACCACAACAAGGAGCTTTAACCTCGTGGAAGAGAACATCAGTTTTTAGCGACACCTTCATGGTCTACAACACTGAGTCAAGCATATATTCGTCGTCTCTGTGAATAAATTTTATTCGCAGAGACGACGCCGTGTGGTATTGACTCCCTCCCCCGGGGGGGAATCCACCACACAGGTGAGTGTCCGTTCGCGTCTACCACCGCCGCGGTGACTCCCGCTACCTACTGCCCTCCTGGAAGTGCAGGTGAGCGGCGGGGGACAAGAAGGGGGGTTGCGGAGGGACGTCCGCTGCCAAAGGCCGCACGAGGAACGGCAGTCAAATTGATCGATTTCTGGAAGAAAACACAAGAAGCGGCACAACACTCACCATGTCGTTGGTGCTGGAGCTGCGATCGTCGTCATTCATGTTGTTGTTCATGTCGTTGTTGGTGTTGTTGCCGGTCGCTGACCCCAGGAGCAGGGCCCCAAGAAGCACCAACAACAGCAACCAGCTGTTGGTCTTCATGATGCGCGTGAGCCTCATCATACTTGAGCACTGAGGTTACATAATCAGGAAGGGGACACACCCAGTCAGTGTGTGGGGTGAGCTTGACGACGATAGAAACGTTACGGCCGACGTACGACGGCAGAAAACAAATTATCCGTGAAGAATATCGTGCAGCTGACGACATCGTATTTCTATTTGCTTGGTTTGGTTACATACACGACGAGTGCGTGGAGAGATATGGACGGCCGTTTCACATTTTTTTTTTTGTGGCCGCAAGCAACTTTGAATCTTGGCGCCTCACGAGGCAGAAGGGTAGGTACATACGGATTTGGGTACCCCACCGTGCTGTTCGAAAGGGGTGATTGTACATGATGAAACAACGAACATCAGGCCTACAACTCAAACGGTCATCAACGAAGCGGAAATGGGCCGATCGAAGCGGGTACTGCTGTACACATATCCGCGATGCGGGGAAACTCCCGCTGTATCCAAATGCGGTGCAAGCTGTGCACCGGAATCTGTGTCGAAAGAAACGACATTTCTCTCTCTGGCTTCTGGCTGGGATGCATATGTCGTCCTGGATCTGACCCGTGGATTTTGGTTGCTTGTGGGGATCCGGGATATGTGGATGTTTGCGCTGCTCTCTCGCTCCTCGCGGGTGGCCAAGCACAGGAGGGCCGAGACCACAACTACTGCGGTAACTCCCTCTCTCCCTAGTCTCCTCAACGCACGGCACACCCCCCAACAACGCGCGGCGCAACCCGTCAAACAGGAGCAATGCCACAACCGAGCCCAAAACGTGGGTGAGCCAAAGTGACTCCCGGGATCCACCTCTGGCATGGACACGGGAAAGGACTTTTGTTTCGATCCCCTAGATTAACCCATTGCCGGCCGGCCACATGTACGCGTTGCTGTGGCCCGCTGGCGGGTGGAAGCCTGGCTAGACCGTGGCGTAAGCGTGGTTCACATCCCGCCGCAACACACATTGGACGCGCGGCACCATAGAGGCGGGCTCACGGGCACTAGGCACCAAGCTGGACGCAATACCTTTCTCTCTCTCTCTCTCTCACCTGCTGAAGTGTAGAAGCGGGTGATACTATCTGAGCTCTTGTTCCGGTGAAGGTTGTCCGCAGCAGTGGTGAGTGATGTCCGCTGATGAAGAATCAAGATTTTTTCTCTCTTTTTTTTTTTTCTGTCTATCGGGAGGAGGTGTCCCTAGGACGCAAACGCCTCCGTATATTCCCTGACAGAGCGAACCGACATTATTCAGACGATCTGCTGCCGGTATACTCAAACAATGCTCAAGTTAGTGAGTTTGTATTGCGCGATACTGCAGCTGCAGAGTAGGGAGCGTGTGCCGCACACTGTATGTTGTGCATGTAAAACCGTTCCGATCTCTCCACCCCCCCAGTAAGTTCATCTGCCCACACTGATCGAACGCTTGATGGGGTCGATTCCCGCAGCCACAACCTAACTCACCTTAAAAAAACGTATACTCAATACTCCATAGTTTAAAAAATAAAACAATGGGCGCGCGCAATTGAAGAAGACGGCACATTATTCAAACACGACGAATGAACTCCTTTCCACCGTCAAGGGACCTCATGTAGTGAGTAGGGGGAGGGAGAAGGAAGGTGTGGCTTGCGTTTTCTTGCGTTGGCATCGACCACGCGGATAGTGGTTTTTGTGGGGTTGTCCACAGCCGTGAAGCTATGTAAACCATTGGTGGGGGAATAATGGAATAGGTTCCTTGGAGGGAGGTCATATTTCGGCCCACAAGCACGTCGCCTTCGCCATGGGGACGGGGCGTGGAATCACCCAAGGGGATGTCCTTGGTCGGGGATGATACCCCCCGTGCCTTGCAAAGCATGCTCCACTTGCCGTCGGTATGGTTCGAATCATAGAGCCGTGCCCGCCTTCAACGTGCTCTCCAAATCAACACACAGCAAGGTTCGGCCGGTCCTAGTTGAGTGGCAGTCAAGTCATGGACACACACATGAGATGTTCGACAAATAATTTCACCGAGCACCAACCGTCAACCCAGGTGGGACGCGTGCGAGGGTACGTTCTTCACAAACACATAAATTGATACTGCTGCCCGAATCTGTAGCAGAGGCCAAGACCTGTTGCTCTTTCTCTTAGACCTTCCCAGACAACTGCTGCCTGCTGCCTGCAGCCGCGACCCACCTTACCCTACGCTCTCGTCTTCTAGTAGCTCCGATCGGGGCTCACACACAGGAACTCTCGTCCAGTCTACTAAAGTACCGCGCCACCGGTAAGCAAATGTTGGCACCCTTGGGTACCCCCGGGATATGCGGACACTATTACAGTCACGGACACCCTCATCGCCAAAAATAGCACCCGGAGCCCCATTAGGTAGCTCGAGCCTCAAAAACATTTGTACAAAGGACAACGACATAATAAGGTTGTGTGTAATACAGTGCAACGACACAAAAATTGCAGTGATTCACGAGATAACAAAATCCAGACATCGCCGCGTCGACGAACAGCTACATTCACAAGTGGAACTTACGAGACGCGGGATCGTGGTTCTCTCTCCCTCCAACTTGACTTGACAGGCTTGTAAGAGCGCGCCAGCGAATCAAGAACGAGGCGTTTCTACGTCCACCTGTTCGCACATGGAAAGTGCGCGCACCCGACCAAGATAGACCGACCTCAACGCCAACGTCACATTCCCTGCCAGGTAGGACTCTAACCCGGCACTTTACCGAGCTACACGCTTCTTCCGACCACCATCAACAAAAACTGCGGTTTATCGCGCAGCAGCAAGTACCGCGTCACCCACCTCGCCAAACACCATCACTTTTCGCGACAACCATCTCTATCGCGCCCCTTTTCCTGGCAAAAAAAAAGGAAGCTCATGGAACGACACCGTCACTATCCGCCGGCGACACATCACGCCTCGCCCAAAGGAGGACAAGAGCCCCGCTACGGTGCTGGCCTCAACGTCTGAACCCCTCTTCAACCAACCCGGCAAACGAATTCCCCTCGCCATACACACCCGCATCGACCTCCCCCACCACACTGGATCTCCGCGGTGCCCCCTCTTCTCGGCGGGAAGTCTCTGCCGGCACCACCGCCGTGGCAGCCTCGCGCCACTCCCTCAGCGCCAGCGTAAACCGCACCATTCCGAGCGAAGACCCCGCGCTCCAAACGTACTCCTGCGCGACGCAGTCCACCGCGCCGCAGTACACGAACGGGCGCCCCTTGACCCTCGCGAACAGCACCAGGTGCGGCGGGTGTTGCTGCTGCTCCTGATCCGCGCCCTCGCCTCCGGCACCTATGCCAGCTGCGGGGGCCCCTACCCCCCGTGGTGGTGTTTCCAAGAAGGCAGGGGGGTCGTCTTCCGGAAGGCCCCCCAACATCGACGAAGGCGTCCCCGACGCGTCCGCAAGCCTCTGGAGAAACTTCCCGATCGCGTCGCCGCCGCCCCCCGCGCCGTCGGCGGCGTCCCCTGTCCCCGTTGAAGAAGGCGCCCCCCTGCCGGTGAAAATCTCGGCCACCCCCCTGCCCCCGGATGGTGGTGTCGCTGTTGCCGTCGCCCCTTGTCGCTCCTGGCGGAGAGAGTCCTGCTGCTGCCGCTGGTACTCCGCGGCCTCGCTGTCGACGAAGGCAGCGTCAGAGGAGAGCTTTCCCTCAAGGTACCACGCCGCCATCGTGCCGCTCTCGTCCAGGAAGCCACTGCACGAACCAATGAATGGGAGAAGCAGCGTTTTTAAAGAGTGGGCCATGCAGGCCAGGGTAACGAGAAGCAATGCATACTGCTGTCCGTTCTCTCGACCACGAGAGCCTTGGCAAGAATCAAAACACAGCAGTGGGCAAATTCGCATGGTTTCGAACATCGAGGTTGCGTGTGGGACTCGGTGTACGTGATGACAGCAACGGCGAGCCATACGGAAACGATGGCCGAAGTCGATGTCGAAGTTCAATGCCGCTTTTGAGGCACGCTTGCAAGGTTGAGATGTTGAGGGGTGGTTGGAAGTGCGCCCGGTGGGGCTCGCAACACCTCGTGATCTCGGTACAATTAGGATCTCTTTCGCGTGTTCCTGGAATGCTTCTAAAAAAACTCGTTCACTTCTCTTCTCCCACTTCAGTCAGAATCCAGTCCACGTCCGACTTAACGTCTCTCTGCGTGAGCATCGGGCTACTGTCTTAGCTACCGCAATACAGTGTTCACTTCGCATTGACACCAAACACCGCACCTTGCATGCTCGCGGTCTATCGGCCCGCCGCAGTTCATGAGGAGAGCGTAACCGTTGCCGAACTCGACGAAGCTCTGGTGCCGGTCGAAGCGCAGGACGGTCGGCAGCTCGCCGCTGGTGGGCATCTCGCCCCGTGGAAAGATGCAAGCCCTGCCAAAGTCGTTGTTGTTGTGGATGTTGCTGAAGGTATTGTGCACTGGTTACTTGTGTTGTTGCCGATCTTGACATAATAGTGCTTCGGATATGTCGTGACAGCAGTGCTTCGGATTTCGAAGTGGTACCAGTCATTTTTGGCTCATCGTAGTCATGTACACATATTGTAGTTCGTGCGAAACCAACGCCAGCTTGGTGCATGTCAGTCGGGGGTTTGATGACTGTTTTTTCCGTTGCAACAAAGCCTAACCCAAATTCAAGGTCTGTCTGTCTGTCTTCATGAGCAACGAGTGGACATGGAGAAACACGCCGCGCGATACTTACCACACATAATAATAAACGACAAAAAAACTACAACATCTGGGGACGCATGCCCAACTTCAAGAAAAAAAGCAACACAGATATTGGTGGTGCATACACTCGCGCGCGCGCACCCCTCCCTTCCTCGGGCACTTGCGTATTTCGAACCGGCACACTTGACCATCGACCGGTTGGTGCGCGTCGCCTTTCACGCGCCTCATGTCTACAAATAGTCTCTGTTCCGACAAGAAACTAGTGAACAGCGGTGGGCCTGGTTTGGCGACCCCTTTGTACTGTCAGGAGGGAACACGGAACTCGATTTTAAGATAGGTCGCCATTGCCGGAATACACATCGAGGTGCCACGCGATTTTGTGGTCGCTGTGCAGGGCATGCTCGCTAGACCGGGGGCCGCTACACCAGCCCCACCACTGACTACATCCATCCATTTCGCGAGTCGCTGTCTCCCTAACCCCCCCACGTCGCGCTTGTTGATGTGAGAGCCCGGTCCAGTGAGAACCCGGCGTGATTCGTCCCGGCCTTGTATGGATGCGAGCTTAATGGTCTCACGACTACGGCATGCACGACTATGAGTACACCCCCCCCCTCCCCCCGCCTTCTCAATGATCTCACCTGACGGCCCCTTCCTTGGTGAGGCCGGGCAACGCCCGGCCTAGCCAGTTATCTCGCAACCCTTCCACGTCCAGTGGCACCCCCGACACGTTTATCATCGTCACCCCGAGCAGCTGCACAGAAGGGAGCAGCGGCGGCGACAAGCGGTGGCGCTCATGTTTAGTGGCCAAGCCGGTGGTGATGGGTGTTCACACAAGCTCCCTCGTTGGGTACATGTAAAGCGGGATTTTTTACGACACTGAACATATTGTCGGAATATTCTTGGTACCGTTGGTGGACGGCCGTGCATCCACTCACTACATCGACGAAATGACCTTGTTCCGGGAATCAGGAAGCATGGGAATCAGGAAGAACAGGATTGATTGTTTCCTCCCCGTGCCACAACCACGGCAGGCGTAGAGACAGCAGGCTGCGTGGAAACAGCTACGGTTGTTACTACGCTGCGGCATCACCGACAGCAACGGGAAGACCAAAATCGCGCCCCTATTCATCACGATAGCTCCAGGGATCAGACGGAACATATTATCATCAGGAGTTGCGCATGGACTTGTCATATCTGTTTTCCCCAGACTTGAAAAGGACACCAAGCGCCTTCTTCTGAGGTGAGATTGATCGACCTTCAAGATGGGCGTGAAGATTTTCCCGAGGATGTCACTAGCTCAGGCGCAGTGGGCTTTCCCTACCGTCCTTCACACACGGCAAATTTTCGAGACCATGATGTCGAAGCTACCTGTGCCAGAAACGCAATCTCAGCTCACGAGTACACCGAATTCTGAACACGATTGATCTGCTAACGTTGGAGAGGTCGTGTGGTGCCATTGTTTCGTGGATGAGCCAGACTCGGCCCTTTTCTCTCAACCTGATTTCTGTTCCGTTCTCTGCCCCCCGTCTCCACTGATCAAGCAACAAACGAAATCTCTCACCAAAACAAACCGTCGTCTACTGCGGGCTCCCGTGCGTGATCAGGGCACACCCTCTTCGTAACAAAGAGCATCGCGGCACAAGAGCAGTGGGTTCATCCGACGCGCTGCAGGTAGTTGCACAGTCGATGTCAAGGTTCAGGTTCACACGCAACCACGGTTGTGTAGAAATGTATAGTGTCGAGGTGCCCTGTACCCAAGGGTCGTCTTCAGGCGGACAAGCCTATATGCAGGTCCATACAAAAGTTTGTGTCGTGGTCAGACTGAAGTCTTTTCCAGAAGTCGATGTAGACGCTCAATGCCGCTTTTGAGGCATTCTGGCAAGGTTGAGATGTTGAGGGATGGTTGGAAGTGAGCCTGTGGGGCTCGCAACACCTCGTAGTCTTGGACAAGTACGATCTCTCTAGCTCGTTCCTGACATGCTTCTCAAAAATTGGTCTGTTCGATTTTCCAACTTCATTCACAATCCAGCCCACGTCCGACTTCACGTCTCTCTGAATTTCACTCAATTCTCGGTCGTATTTGTCCGGTCCCCCGTTCCTACTACGACATCCGTGACGGGTTGATGAATTGAGAACCGTAGCAAGAACGAGGGACCGGGCAAATACCACCGAGAATGATTGAGTAAGTGAAATTCACAGAGACAATAACCCTAAGTCGGACGTGGACTGGATTCTGACTGGAGTAGAGGATGATGGGAAAAGCAGAGTGAACAATATTGGTGTGATTCAAGATCAGAAACAAGGGTGTTGTAGAAGATAACTTGGGGAACTTACCGGAGGTTGAAAACAAGAGTACTTAAGAACAGCAGAACCTTTCAAGACACAAGCGTATCATCTCGAGGATGAGAAACCATGGTGCGACAACGTACTGAAGGTCAAAGTATGATGTAATGAGGAGTAGGATAGGGAACCACGAAGAGAAGGATAGCGACACAAGTTAAATGCATATCGGTTTCGAGGGCGTGTAAAATGCAGGAGTGCGGACGAGGTTCGCATAGACCTGCAGGATGGATTCCTGCACTTACAACAATCTGTTGAAGCACACGCAACGTTGCATCCATCAAGCGCGCGGGTCGAACAACGCACTATTGCTGTAGGATGTGCGTAGTAACATATCATACAACGCAGCTGTGTTGTTGATACGTTTGTAGAACGTAACAGGTGGCTCGAATTATAGGAAAGATGTGGAGACACTCCAAAACAGCTCTTTCACTCTGAGGCCAAAAGCTACAGTACGGGGGGGGTGAATTTAACAAATAATCGTCCCACATGCAACAAAACGGAAAAATCGTCGACGCGATTTCTGAGACACGACTGCGTCGATTTCACTCCGCCGCCAACTGTTGTCATAAGGGCGAAAAATGAAAAACACAAGAACGCCGAATGGAAGCAACCTTGGTCGCTTGGAACCAAGCGGCTTTTGCGAACCTCATAGTGAGACATTCAATTTCACTTCAAAACTGCTTTGACACAAATGTGCGGCCAAGTGCCCTTTCGGGAAAAAAAAACAACGTTGTACATTCTAAAAAACGACACAGAAGTCGACGAGACTTATGGAAAAATATTTCCAATGTGTGTAATCGTGTGTCTACAGGAAGCAGGGGACAGACTGCTTTGATATTTTTCTGCAGTCAAGTCTTGTAACATTGGGGAGCAATGAAAATACAACAAGGTCGAGTGGAAGTAAACTTGGACGCATGGAACACGAGGACTTGCGAAGCTCGTAGTGTGGCATTGAGATTCACTCCAAAACTGATTGAGATTCACTCCAAAACTGCTTAGTTTCACTCTCCGGGCAAGGGTCACGAAGTGAAAAGAAACTCGTCCAACAGGTGGGAAAACGGGAAACTTGTTGGCAATTTCTGGACCAACATTTCCAGTCTGTGTCTGTCATGTGTCTGGCCAACAGGGGGAGGCAGCCTGCTTATATCTGCGGCCAAGCGTCACACATGGGAAAAAATGAAAAAATTGCCCAACAAGACAACAAAGAAGCTGCCGAAAAATTCGTGCAAGATTATTTCCAGTGTGTGTGTGATGTGTTTAACCGGCAGGGGCATGTAGGGTGGAAGGCAGACGAGAGAGTGAACGAAGGATCCAGCCTCTGGATTCACAGCCGACGTATATCGTTCGAATCTTGCTCCGAAAATCAGTGCTCCAACATTCACTTCACCCCACAATCATGCAGTTGCAGTCATGCGGTTGCGTTGTGTCTACTGTTACATCCTTCTTCATTTGACCTTCGGAAGGTTTAATTCATGACCACCAACCAATGAAAATGGACCGACCGCACTCAGGCCATCAACCAACAAATATTGGATAGTTCACAAGGATTAGATTCCAGCGCCAGGAGGAAGGACATTTGGTTCACCGACTCTGCAACGTCAACAACCAAGCGCGCGCATGTTTGTTTGTTTTTTCGGCCGCCGGTCACCTGCTTTCTCAGCATCCGCTCCTGCCGAGATCCACCGGCCCTCAGCTTGCGCATCCGGCGCCCCCCCCGAGACCCCCCGCCCCCCTGCTGTCTTGTGGCGCCGCCCCTTGCTACCGGAGACCTTTGCGCGGAGGGCAGCGTCTGGGTGGACTGGATGCAGAGCGATCGGGCAGGCGAGGCATGTGCGAGTGTGTATGCTTGGCGCGGGGGCTGTGTTCTCATGGTTGTACATAGCGAGACCACAAAACAGGTGATAGCCAACCCATCATGAATTGTCACAGAGATACAATACGTAGTCTGCGCTCACGACCTGCCGACTGTCACTGGAGTCTGTCTCACTGGCTCAACTACCGTGTAATCTACGAGCGGATAAAAAACTACGATCGCGAGCTGTACGACATCGGAACAACCAAACACAAATGTGCTAGAAAACAGGCGGCGCCAACGTCAGCACGGGGACAGACAAGCAGCTCGAGACCAACCACCATTTCACACCAGCCGCCGAATTTCACTCCTGGCATAACCAGAGAGGGCGACGCCATGATGATGTGAGATAACAACGATGCCGACTATTCAAGACACGACCACGACGTCAAGTTTGTAAAGCAGCTCGTATGATGTTCAGAAGAAAACGAACACGAGAAACACTGACGACGACCGACGTATATGCACAACTGGCGGAATACACGGGTATTGCCTACTCACCACCATGCCGTCAGCCCGGTGGTCGTACGCGAAGGTGTTGAACAGGCACTCCATTCTCTCAGGCGGCACCTGAAAGTCACACATAAACCCCGGCCGAAACGATGAGGTTATGAAACGGAATGTATGGATCCGCCACCATACCGCAAACCCTGGGGTCTTGTGAACGGCGTTGAAAATACCTTCGCATACAACACCAAACTCACTCAAGAGACTCTACGCCAAGAGGAGAGGAGCAGGGATCTTCATGTCCAAAAGAGGTGCCCCACCAAGTGCCACAAAGTGAAGTGAAGTTGCCCGTGTAGATTATCAACTCTACAACGGGGTTATTTCCATGCCTTGAGAAGAGGAGAGTTGGAAAAAAGAAGGTATTGTGCCATCCGAACCACGTTCACTCACTAGAGTCTACATCAAGGAGAGGATTGGTACAGTTCACAAATCAAGGTCACCCATTAGTGTCAAAGGGTTAAGTGAAGTGTGGATATTATCATGTACACGCTACACGGTTAGGAAGGAGTGATCAAACATGGGCTCGAGCGGAGGAGCCCTGAACGAAAGGGGGCATTTCGTCTTGAAAACTCGTTCACTCTCAAGACTCTACAACCAGGAGGAGCAAGGTACTCCACGGCAAAAAAAAGGTACCTCAAATGAGCGCCACTAGGTGAAGTGAAATTGGAGGTGCACATGCTCCATGGCTAACGTTGCACTGCTGTAGCACAGCATATTATGACACTGTCAAGTGAAATTGTCTGCGCAGATGCTCCACAGCTACAATGGCACGGTAATCCACGGCAAAAGGAGGTAAACCAATTTCATGTCACCAAGTGAAACAAAGTCGTCGATGCAGATGCTCCGCGGCATTAAACGAGTACACTGATATAATGTCACAAGGTGAAGTGAACTCATCCGCGTAGATGCTTCACGGCTTCAAGGGGTGACCCAACATGAGAGGAAGAGAAGGCTTCGCTGAAAGAACGGTACGTTGTCATCGAAAGAAACTTCACTCTCAACACTCTAAACTAAAGACTAACCAAAAAAAGGTACACGAAAAATAGTGCGGAAGGGAGTGAAGTGAAGTCACCTGTGCAGCCGTGGCAAAGGAGTAATCCAAGATGGGAGGACGCTTGGAAGAAAGAGACTTGCTGTCATTGGAAAAACTACACTCTCAAGACACTACACCGAGGAGAGGCAGGGTACAGAGGCACAACAATGTAGCCACTGCGTGAAGTGTAGTTGTCTGTGCAGATGCTCCACGGCTACAAAGTACAGCCATATTATGCCAAGAGTCAATTACCGTAAAACTACACAAGATAACACACCCACATAAGAAACCACACCCCCCACAGAATACGACACCCCGGTGGTAATTTTCGGCATTTCTGACAAACCATCGATTTATCACCCGGGCTACATAAGATAACACACCCCGTGGTTACGCCGCATACATTCACGGGGCCCCTCCTTCTATCACCGGGGTGATACATCATCTGCCCCGTGGGCATCGCACACTGCTGTCACACGGTGGTGGTTTGTGGTTCGACTTTTGGTGGTGGTTTCTTTGCGTAATTTTGTTTTGGTCGTACCCGATAGCAAGGTAGGTATGTATTTATGCAGCAGCCTACTTCTTTGTTATTATGGGGCAGGATGGCGCACTCTGTGGCCACCGCCTCGCATCATATCGGACAAGGTCTCTTCGATTTAATTTTCATTTTTCATGCTCCATCGAGCCGTGATGGTTGCTGACGTTATTTTGTTTGAAACTTTCTTCGGTGTTGAGGGGGTTGAGTCATCACCGAGATCACGTGCTCAGGAGTTTCGTCACCTCCGTTGAGCCCCTTCGTTTTACCACATCCCCGCAGAACCCACACTTCAAGTGTGCGGCACCCCTTCAAATGTGCGGCAGCAGCGGTTCGACTCTACAAGCAGTGTTATCACCCCCCCTTTTTATCACCCCCCCAAACACACACCCTGTGGGTGTTCGGAGTTGCTGCAAACACACACCCTGTGGGTGTTCGGAGTTGCTATCACACCCCCTCATTTATCACCCCCTCAAACACACCTTGCTTGCGGGTGTTCAGACTGACTGGCTATCACACCCCCTCATTTATCACACCCCCAAACACACTCTGTGGGTGTTCGGACGTGCTATCACACCCCCTGGTTTATCACACCCCCTTAGGTGCCCCTGCGAGCTGCACTTATCACCCGGGGTACACAAGATACCACACCCCCCACAGGATACCACCCCCGGTGATAACATTTTTAAAGCCAAAAATGTATCACCGGGGGTGTGTTATCTTGTGTAGTTTACGGTATGCCTGTCCAGATGCTCCACGGCCACTTACCAAAGGAGTGCATCCACTTTAGTTTCATGGGTGAATTACGCCTGTCGGTGCAGATGCTCCACAACTACTATTTACAAGTACAAAGGAGTACATTAACGTAGTGCCACGAGCGAGTGAATCAGGAGGTATTGGCTCACCTCCGGTGCAAGTTCGCGATGTACGAGAAGAGTTGCCCGGGCGTCCAGCGCGGCGTAACGCTTCTGCCTGCCGGACAGGGGCCTGTTGCCCCAGTCAGAGCATTGTTCACTCTTGTCCAAGGGCTTGCCTGCGGCGTTAACAAACGATGATGCGGCGCAACGAAACGCGCGGCAACGAGAATCACCCGGACATTTCTTAGGATGCGCTTCAGATCAAGCCGATGCATGTGGATATGGGAACACAACGAACAAGAGCAGCGGGCGCCACAGGAGATATACGAGAAGGCCACAACCGCAATGCAGAGGGTCACTGGTTTTCACGTGTACCATCTCTACAAGTACTGCGAAAATCACGGGGGTCGCGCAGGCAGTACTTAGTATCTCGCGTAGAAGTAAATGACGAGGGCACCGCATGCTGAATGGTGGCAACGCAGAGCAAAGGAAAGAACCGCAAGGAAGATGGTGCGTGGGAGGCAGTTTTTCGTCAGAGTGTAACCGGCAAACTACTGCCGTTTGGAAACTTGATCCTGTGTCACTCAGGCGTAGCTCTCCGTGAGACGTGAAGTTGGCAAACACAAATATCTCGCAGTTTGTTTCAAGACCTTCGATTAGATAATAATAAGGCGGAGGAGTTCCACCAAAACATCCAGTGCCAACGCGGAAAAACAAAACCGTACCCACAAACCATCCCGTAGCGAGATGCGTTCAACCCGTTACCAGAGGACGACTCACCTAGGACTACGTTGCACAGGCGACTGAGGGAAGCCTTCTCATCCGCCGGTTTTCCGCGGAGTGAGGAGGCGTTGCTGGCCACGTGGCACAGGTTGACCACTCCGCACACTCTCCGGAAGCAGGGCATGTGCGGGTACGACCGTATCAGGCTCTGGAAGTCCGCCTTCCCTCGTGGAGGCAGAAGCAGCAGCATTCAGGGGTATCAGGCTTCCACAGATGGAGCGACAACGTTTGATGCACGCGTCAAACACCCACGCTGGAGAACACTGTTTGATGCAAGCGCCGATGCATGATGCTGAAGAAAGAGATACATGTGGTACAAAGCAAATAGTGAGTGTCGCGGAGGACACGCTTTGATCTCGGTACTCCTATTGCCCCATCCACTCCCGGCCCTACCGGATGAACACGTCATTTCTTCCCATCATGAGTGGGGAGTGTGTGTGTTTGTGGCTAGATCAGACGAAAGCGTGTTGGCTCATGGAACGAGGTGTCGCTTAGGCGGAAGGCGGGTAATCAACACGCAGACGAGTGCGCACGGGGTCCCCCTTCGGCTCAAGGAACGAAAAGAGGAAAAAAACAAAAACAACGGACAAAAGACTAAGCAACACTCCCCGAATAGTTACCAGGGTTATCGGAAACGCCATGACTCGTTTTTATCTGGCCAGGCGCTGTCGACAAAAACCAAAGTCAACGAAACGAAAGCGAGAACAAAAGAAAAGAAGGAAGAACCCAATCAACCCGTAATGATCTCTAGAAACAAAATGGGCAAACAAGATGATTGTTGGATCTTTCCTTTCGGGCAAGACCGCCTGTCGACGGAAAACGACATGTCGCGCGTGAACAAGAGACCCCACCCACCTTAGGGCCGAGCCCAACCTTAACCACCCCCGGCGAGCCAAGCACGGCCCCTAGCGCCTCCTCGAGCAAGGCTTCCCTCTTCGTCAAACCCGAAGCCGTTTCCTCCACGGCGTCGGTCGCAGCAGCGGCGCTCTTCGGGCGGCACACGTGCAACATGTCCACCACGAAGGTTCTTTCTCCCGCAGCCAGCTGTAGCAGACACACTATTGGGGTTGGCGTGATGGGGTTGGTCGGGGGAGAGGGGGAGTTAAGCGCTGGACAGATCGGGAACACACCGAAAAAACAGGCAAAAGCAAAAGCAATCCCGCTAACAGAAAAAGAAACCAACGATGGATGATGGCAAGACGAACAGGGAGCAATAGGCAATTGATGAAAAGTCGGGTGTGTTTCGTAGGCAACGTGGCACAACAGTCGCATGGTTGAGGTAGCTCTAGCCCGCCACCGAGGGCGGGCAGATTTTCTCCGTTCAATATTTAGGCAGCAAGATCCTTGCGGAGGAAGGGTGAAATGTAGTTCATGTGTGACACAGTGAGCAGGGGTTCTCAGCGTTCCCAAAACACTTCTCCATCCACTTACAGTAGTTTCGTTTACCACTTTCGCGTAGGAGTACGCTCTCCCTCTACTATTTCATCGCGAAACCCACCTGAAATAACCGGCTTTTAGAAAATTCCAGAAATCAAGAAACGAACACAAGCGGGAAAAGACAGATGGAGAAAACGCAACCAAGACAAATGGCAAAAAGAGAAGACTAATATTCAAACCGTGTATGTGCGTACCGGGATTGGCCGGCGTCCCGGCGACTCTGGCAGGCCTCCACTCGCAGTCCACCGCCAGGGCGGGCTGCTGAGGCCTATTCCCACCCGAAGGCGGCTTACCACCGTCCTCAATGGCGGGGTCGTCAAGCAGCGTCTTGTTCACGGTAAGTTTGTTCGCGCAGCCCGCATTGATGGCGGTTTGTGGTGGGCAGTGGAGGGCAACAGACAAGGTCGGGGAGTAGAATCACCGAAGGGTGCGAAACGCGGGGGCAGGGAAGGGCTATGTCAGCTACCGCCGCATGACGAAGCCTAGCGCGTCACTGGCTTCGGGATCGGTCTTGAGGGCTGTCCAGGAGTCGCAACCCCACATGTAAAGCCATCATGTCACTTCCTTGCTCTAGCTAGCGCCGTCGATGCTAACGCACAAAAATGGCAACACACACACGCAAATCCCGACAGACTATATCCCTTTTTGTAAGGGAACGGTGCACCACACTCCCCCACGATTCACCCTACATCCCGCACACGGCAAACCCAGTGGCAAGCAGGGATGCTTCATCAGTCAGGGTTGCCGGGGAAATCGACGCACTGTATGTGAGGGCCGCTGATCGCATCGGAAGTCTGCGGCAACAGTGTCGAATGGTCCCGGGTAAGAGTAAAGAGGGAATATTTCAATGTTCAATATGGGCTAGGAATGACTTGTACTTGCTTAGTTCGGTCACTTTCACTCCTGCTCCGGTTAAGCAACGTCCTGACCAGCAAAATATCGGTGTTATGACCTCGGAAAGTCTCCAGGACCGTTTGCCGCAAACGCCAATGGGAGAAGACGCTTAACTTTCGTTTGTGCTCATGGTGGCGTTGGACTCACACACGAGGGGGGTGTCATGAGTGCACTCCTGTCCCGCCTCCTATTCTCGCCGGTCCAACCTTCCTAGAAACTCCCCCACCATCTCCTGGCCGTTTAATCGATAAAAAAATGCACCCGCCCAAAGCCGTCCGAAATCTCTCTCCCGCCACAAGACCACCACCCACTACCGACGCGTCTTGCGCGATCCATGCCGCCTCTAACACAATGCCTTACCCCCCTACCCGTTCTCATCCGCGTCGCTCCCACCTTCCGCAAAAACTCGCCCATCTCCTTGAGCCGCTTCGCCGAGTCCACGTACACGACGGCGGACTCCTCGAGGTCCATCTCCAGGTAGTCGCCGCCGCCCGTCCACTCGTCCCCCTTGCCCACCAGCTCCGGTTCCACGAGGGGGGCGTCTTCGAGCATCCTCACCGAGCAGCACACCAGGTCGTACGTCTCAAGCTTGGCGCCGCCGTTGTTGTTGTTGTCGGTGGCGGGGGCACCGTCGAGGTGGTGCTTGCGGGTGTCCGGCGTCGGGCGCCCCGTGATGTATAACAGCTGTTGGTCGGGGGGGGTGGTGATGATCGCGGTGGGTGCGCAGGCGGTGGTTATTATGGTAGTGGTTGTGTTGGCGTTGTCGGCGGGGTGTTTCGGAGGTGTGTGATGATCGTTGGGTTGGCGGTGTAGCATATGTGTGCGCATGTAGATGGTCGGAGAGCCACGAGTAGGGAGAAGGGGGAGAGGTAGAGAGGGAGAAAAGAGAACGATACAGAGAGATATGGAGAAAGAGAGAGAAAGAGAGAGAGAGAGAAAGAAAGAGAGAGAAAGAGAGAGAGAGAGAGAGAGAGAGAGAGAGAGAAAGAGAAAGTGGGTCAAACACGGTAGAAGAATCAGCTTTCGCTTGTAGCAACCTCCCGACACAAAAGCAACTCAATTCCTCCGTACTCCAAGACCCCAGCATTCACTCTCCCTCGTACGTCGTCACTGACAGCCCGGTGGCCTATTGGTTCTTAGTCTCGCCGGCTCCCCTCCCGACGTACCTGTCCTCTCTTCACCGCCCGCATGGCCACGAGCGCCTCCTGCTGCCCCAACCGGTCAACGAGCGTCTTGCCCATAATCAGCTGGACCTGGCACAAAAATAAAAAACGCCCCGGACAACGAAACCCACCAACACAAAGTTCGGGGATATCAGTGCCTGGAACACGTTCCAGCACCCCCCCCTCTATCTACCTCCCCCATAACAGGAAAAAACACGCACACACATTATGGGCAACCAATCGCCAATAGTCGGTACAACCATCGGGCGCATTCATGCATCGTGTACACCATTCGCACAGCTTGTGGTAGGTGCGCAATAAAAACCCTGCAATGCTGCCAAAGTTGACTCGATCCACATCATCTGCTGGTGAAATTTTCACGTAGTCAACATTTGTGAGAAGCTCGAAATCACTAAAGTTGCCTCTTTCCCCTAGGGCTAGTACGAAAGCGGGAGGGGGGAAACGTGTCGAAAAGGGCCAACAGGGTCTTGACGTGACGACAACAATACCAACAACGACAGCAACGACGATAGCAACGACAAGGCCAGCATACCTATGCCATACCCGCCCTGCGCCTGCATCTAACGGCAACCAAAAAACGACAACGACGAACACGCCGAGACGTAAACACAAAGCTGACCTTTACTGGGGTGGGGGGACGGTCGGGAGTCATCCCCGGCACCATCCACGCCTTCCTCACGAGGCAGGTCTGATTGGCCACAGGAGTCGCTTCGGTTGCAGGAGGGACCTTGTCACACAGGCAAGTTGTTTTACAAGGACGATCACGAGCGTCGCCCCGGTATAATTTTACAGGAGGTTTTCGAAGGAGCCAACACAGAGCCAACGTTTCGTATCTGCTACCTGCGTCGAAATTCCGTCCGTGCCACGTTCCCAGAAATCAAATCGTTTGAGCAAAAAGGGGGAGGGGAAGCTGCTGATACTGACGCAATCAAAAGTAAGCACGTGCCTAGCTGCGGAGCGTCGGATGGCAAACCAAGACGGGATTCTATCGGGAGGGGCGATGCTTAGGCCAAGCAAGCCAGCCCCTCCACAATGACAAAACTTGGTGCCAAAAACAAAATTTTGGTACTTCCGTCATTGCTTCCTGTCTTTCGGATCCTGACAGCGCCAATACGTGGTATAGGGATGAACAAAGAAAAATCGCGCGAAGAGCGTCATTCTGGTCGGACAAAGCGGCAACCTGCTGTTTTCATCGGTTGGTGTAGCCAGAACACGTTTATCGTCGCTACCATTGCATCAGATTTGGGAGTTGTAGTTGCCTGTGCTGGCGTCGTGAACGAGCACACCACTGCATGCGCTGCATTGGTACTCACGTGCAATGCGTTGAGTACCCTTCGATCACGGCAACTGGCCAAAAGACCCCCACCCCGCCCACAGAACTTTGCTATATGTGGCCCGAAGCTGCTCAGCTACCTTTCCATCATTCTCTCTATTCCACGCATCTGCCTCTGCCTTCCTACGTATTTAACGTTCGTAAGTCCCCGTTCTTTCAGCCCCCCGCTCTCACCAGGTCAACGAAGTGAAGCAGCCGCGTGAGAGACCGCTTCCCGGCTACGGTTGCCACAAGGTGCACGTCGCCGCCGATGGCGTCCACCGTTGGGGTGCCCGCCGCCCGCGCCAGCTCCCGGCCATACACCGCAGCCGCCGCCGCCGCCGCCCCGGCGCCTCCCACTTCAGGCGCCGCCACAGCCCCTGATACACCGGCGGGGATGGCCGCTGACGCTGGTGCTCCCTGTCTCATACCTTCCTCGCCCTTGGTGCTATGCGGCGACGCTTGGTCTACCACCACCGACTCCACTCCCGAGTGCTGTGGCCCGGCGTTCTTGGCCGCGACGGAGGCACCATCCCCGGCACCGGGTGCCGGTGGCGAGGCGGCAGCCATGGCGACGGCGCTAGCACTGGCCACGCTACCGTTGTGACTTTGCGCTCGGCCCGCGCAGTCGTCGGCGTGAGGGTCGCCTACACCCATGGTGCCCCCGTCGCCCAATGAGGTACTACCATCACACACGGCCGCGGAAGCCGCCGCCCCCTCAAGGTTTCCTCCGCCGTGGCTGTTAGTGGTAACACCACTCTGTAAACCGCCGCCGCCGCCGCCGCCGCCGCCGCCGCCGCCGCCGCCGCTTTCCGGAAGCGCAGAGAGGGCCGACAACGCCGAAGAAACAGCATGCATCGCTGCCGATATGACCCGGAGCCGGGCCTCAACCTCCGGATTACCCGCCGCTCCCGCTCCAGCCGACGCTCCCGGGGCATCACTCCCCCCCCCGCCCCCCCCAACGAGCAAGCCACCGCCGTTACTGCTGCCGCCACTGCTCCTCCTCGTGATATCGGTCCCCGAGTGTATGCCCAGGTCCACCCCCTCCATGCGCTCGGCTGCAGCCGCCGCCGCTGCCGCCGCAGAGGGCTCAAAAACGTCGTCCTCTCGAGCCTGCCGGCGCCCTTGCTCGTCATAGCCATCCTCAGCAACATACCGTGGGTACCCATTGCCACGGAAAGATGCACCCCCGTTCGCGTCACCCCCGCCCCCGTACCCCCCCGCGTCGCCGGCGCTGGACGGGAACCCGCCCGTCGGGATCGTTGCCGTGGACGAGTACCAGCTCAGCATTGGCGCCTTCGCGATGGGCCCACCGCCCCCACCGCCCGTCGCGCTTGCCAACCCTAGGCTTCGCGGCCTAGCCAGCGGGATTACGGAGGCCCCGGTGGCCTTGAGGAGGTCCTCCACGGATATCCGCGAGTCAAAGCCTCTGGGAGAACAAACAGAGATTACGGACCGGCGGGAAGTGGGGCCGTGGGCGCGGACAGCGAGAGCAACACCAAACGGCGACAGGGTTTCCAGAGGAGGCGTCGAAGACCGCGTTCTGTACGGCAACGCGGCGAAGTCTTCGCGCCGGGTAAATGTATCATGAGACTGAGCCGCTGCTCAACTATTGCGCGACCTCGACCGAAGCCATACAACGCACACAGGTGAACAGCAGTGTTGGGCGCATGACAAACTTCCGCCACCTCAGGGCTGTTTCCCGCAAAAAAAGAAACAAAAGCCGAAAGCAAGCGGAGCACACGGCCACGGAAGGCGAGCCCTGGGGCAACAGCCGCAGGCACTGGAGCTCTCTCAATACTCTTCAACAGACAAAAATCGTCAAGAAAAGTAAAAAGTGTATAGAGCCGTGGTATTACCATAGGACGCATAAGATACCTCACCCCCTTCGACCGATTTTCAAAGCTCGTCTGCTCTGCAGCACAGCCAGTGACCGTGACGAAAAGTGTGGCATTGGACTCGTCTCGTTCGAGAGCTTTCCGAAAAAAGTAACATTTGGTTTTGGTATCCTCTTTGTGTAGCAGTAATGAAGCTTTGCAAATCCTTCCTGGGGGTGTGGTATCTACGTCATGGCAACCTACGGCAGTTTGACGGGTCCACAACGGGAACCCCTCTGTCCCCCAGGCTACTCACGGGCATCCCGCGCCACCGACGATGGTGGAGTACTTGAGGAGCTCCGCATCTACGAGAGTCGGCACGCGTGTCCTATGCCCCAGGGGGGGAATCGTGCCGACGGGGAAGCCGGTCACCTCTTCCACGTACGGTGCTTTGGCCAGGGTGACCTGAAAGCGGGGACAAAGAAATAAAGCATATATATGCGCGGAAAGCGAATGAAAAAATGCTGAGGGAAATACGGGAGTACGAGGTACGGGACTGGCGGAGAAAGAGATGGGAAGATCGCAACTTGGGGATCTCGGGAAAGGGAGTCAAACGGCGAAGAGCGACTGTATGCACCACTTACTTCGTAAAAGTTGTCGAAAAAGAAAAACAAACGGCAGTTGGGCGACAGGCGTCGGGTCTCGAGCACGCGCCACGTAGTTTAGCACCATAGACAAACCTGCCGACTTGTCAGCCTCAAGTGGCGAGCCATGCTGCCTCGGTCTGCCACCAAGTCTTCTCGCATCACCGCCGCGAACGGTTTCCCATCCGCCTGTCAGCCGCCGAGCGGGAGTTGCGGCGTGCACGCGCGGGCGCGGGGGTAAGGATTGTTTCCCGGCACGATTTAACCAAAATAAGAGGGCACGCGGGGGCGTGAAACAGGGAGCACGTGGTGCCCCCCTCTCGTACTGCTGTTCAAGCGCTCATCGCAGACTTTTGGGTTCTTGTGCGGAGGATAAATTGCCCTGCTCTTGTAGGGCTGCCTCCAATCCGTGGTCCGTTTCCTTTGATCCTTTGAACGGATTGGATTTTGTGCGTGACGGTGTGACGAAACGACGAAAAATAAATTCTCACGGGAAAAATGGGAGCGAGGGTGCCTCTTTCTTGAACTAATTAAAAAAATTGTATACATCATTATGTCACAGCGGATGGATGTACAGTATGCCTACGCCAGTCGTAGTTTGCTAGCCTTTCTTCTTGTTGTGCGCTGGTTAGGGCCTGTCTGGTGGTCGTGGATGACAAAAAGAAAGAAAGGCAGGGCTGTCCTCGTTAATTTCTCCGCGGTAATTTTAATGAGCCGCGGAGCGCGAAGCGCGACCTTTTTTCCCTTCATCTCCCACGAGGGAAAAAGAGGTGCTAAATACCGGGAGCAAAGTTTGATTTCCGTGACGCACAACAGGGTATACCCTGGTCGATAAAGCGACACACCTGGGTACACAGTCATTAACAGCAGTAAATGCACTCATATCATCGGTCAGCGCCCAATTTCACCCCGGTGCGTCCGAAAAGGCGCAGGGTATACCCTGCCGTGACTACTTTTCTCAGCAACTGTACCCTGTTTTCGGAGATGTACCCTGACCTGACGGGAAAAAAGACCCTTTCATCAATCATTTCCCCCGCAGGAATCTTCCCACCCCAACTCCTGTTCCCCTCCACCCACGGGATACCAAACGGCGAATCTTCCCGCCGAATAACAACCATGGCAACGGGGCAGGAATCAGTTTCGGCCCTGCGAAACAACACCAACCATCACCTCTTCCGCTCTAAATCAACAATGGCCGGGCAACACCCCATTGTTCCGTTTGGAAACATGCACACATGCGTACAATACCCCGTGGACTACTGCTTGCTGCAGTCTATGTGCGAGATGCACGGGTCACGCTATGAAAGCAAGACCGATCCAGCATGGTTGACATGCATATGCATGTGCCAATGTGTGGCGCTGTGCTGGCGGCGAGCTCGCGCCCGCAGAGAGGGTGGAGGGGAGAGGCAGGACCAGCACACACAGACATGTCCTTGACATATCAATCACGCACACACGAGTCTTATCCTTACTCTAGCAGCAGGACACTGCTGTGTCGTCCAACTCAATCACCCTCCCTGTCGGTAGAAAGAAGAAAGAGTGCTCGCGTTGTATTTCATCGTCTCATCCCGCTTTTTGCCTGACGTCTTCTTACTCATTGATTGATTGATTGGTCGGCTTGGTTGGCTGGTAAGCGTGACCGCTGCTGCTACAGCAGCAGTAGTTCAAGCAAGAAACACACCGCAATTGAGACACAACAGACAACACACGCACGCACACACGGCACATCGCAATTGAGACACAACCGACGACACACGCCCGCACACATGCATATGCATGTCAACCATGCTGGATCGGTCTTGCTTTCATAGCGTGACCCGTGCATCTCGCACATAGACTGCAGCAAGCAGCAGTCCACGGGGTATTGTACGCATGTGTGCATGTTTCCAAACGGAACAACTGTGCTGGGGTGTTGCCCGGCCATTGTTGATTTAGAGCGGAAGAGGTGATGGTTGGTGTTGTTTCGCAGGGCCGAAACTGATTCCTGCCCCGTTGCCATGGTTGTTACTGGCGGGAAGATTCGCCGTTTGGTATCCCATGGGTGGAGGGGAAAAGGAGTTGGGAAGATTCCTGAGGGGGAAATGCTTGATGAAAGGGTCTTTTTTCCCGTCACGTCAGGGTACATGTCCGAAAACAGGGTACAGTTGCTGCGAAAAGTAGTCACGGCAGGGTATACCCTGCGCCTTTTCGGACGCACCGGGGTGAAATTGGGCGCTGACCAATGATATGAGTGAATGTACTGCTGTTAATGACTGTGTACCCAGGTGTGTCGCTTTTCGACCAGGGTATACCCTGTTGTGTCGTTTTCCCTTTTTTTTTTCTCTCGGTCGGGGGGGGGTGGCCTGGACGGAAACAATTATCAAGATCCAAACGACCGTCTTACGGTTCCTCGAGGTATAGTTTTTTCTGAAGGGAAAAAAGAGGCCGATTCATGATCTTGTGAGTCACAACATGCTTCAGAACACGGTTTTGGCTCGTGTGCGACCAACAAGCACCGAGCGCCCTGTTTATGGGTCGCCCGCAGAGGGCATGTGTATCATCGCACGCCAGTGGCTGCAGTTTGTGGATATCGTCGGCCAAAGGCCTCTCTCTGATGGCATGCGTTGTACACTGATCACACTCGACTCGGAGCAAGCGGCAGAAAAAAAAAGCAACGTCCAAAAAAGGCAACACCGAACCACACCTCGATTCACGTTTGCAGGTCGTGTGCAATCAAAACTGGACAATACGCTCTGTTTCTAGGACGCGAGCAGAGCGATTGTGTACAACCACACGCCACTGGATGCTGTTTGTGGATGTCGTCGGCCAAAGGCCTCTCTCTGGCATACGTTTTTGACTGGTTGCGGGTGACACACGGAGCAAACACGCGGCGGAACAAGAAAAAAGACCAAAAAGTCAAAACCGCAACACATTTTGGTTCACGTTTGCAGGCCGTGTGCAATCAAAACTGGACAACACGCTCTGTTTCTGGTACGCGAGCAGAGGGTGTGTATATGATCACACGCCACTGGCTGCAGTTTGTGGATGTCGACGGCTTAAGGCCTCTCTCTGGCATGCGTTTTGAACAGGTCACACATGCAGCAGGCGCAAAAACGGCTCTTTTCGGCCCAAAGGCAAGAACGTCAGCAGAGGTGGCAGGGTTGACGTTTTCGGCTCGTGTGCGGCCAACACGACGCAGAACGCCCTGAATTTTAGATACCTGCAGAAGGTTTGTGCATGACCTCGTGATACTGGCCTCTGTTTGGCCAGCAGACGGTGTAGTTCCTCGTTCTGGCACGATCGCCCATTTCTAACAGCGATATTCCAACAGGATCGCTGTTGGAAAATGGGCCAATTTTCTAACAGGCCGGCCGGAATCGCTGTTGGAAACTGCGCTGTTGGATTTTGGGCTGTTGGAAATTGCCATCTTCGTACCCGTAAGACGTCTAAATTATTTTTTGACGCAGAAAAGGACCCCCCCCCCAAATCCAATCCGGAAATAATCACGCCGTAAGACTCAGCCTTAGACTATACCTGGTAGTTTTTTTTTTCCCGTAAATAGCTGAAACCAATCCTAAAACAACGCTTGTTTCGTCTTCAATACGTGTGCAGGAAGTTGGAGAAGTACTGCTGTATACGACTGCCACGCTCCGTTGAACTCGCCGAACCAGATGTAGTTGGTGTGTACGGGTGTACTGCCACCGTGTGTTGCTGTGTGCACGGGAGAACACGAAGTGTTACGTACGGTACCTAGACTAGTCCTTGCAGGTAGGTCTGTGGAACAAATTTACAAATTTACAAATTGATGGCCTTGAAGAGCAATGCAGCCACAACCATTGCGTAAAACAACAACGCAGTGCATGGATTTGGATGCACTACTGCTGTAGGCCATACACATGAATTGACATTGCCTACAGGTTTCCTGCAGAAACGAACGCCACAGGGTCCAGCCTCTCCTTCTCCAAGGGCTCAATCGGTTGACGTTGATTGGCACCCGTGTTGCTGGATCCCAGAAAAAACTCTTGCCTGAAAGATGACCGTTTTCACGAACACGAGGCCGTTTGCTCTCTCGATGCCACTGGTGTAGTAGTCAGACTCGACCGCCGGAACTATCTCCGCCGATTCAACGCCATGTCTGCGGAGGTAAACCGGCAGAGGAGCGACCGCAAGCGCGCCGGTGCACAAGGCGGGGGGTTTCAGCAGCAGACGAAAGAGGAGGTGATTTTTCGTGCGGGCCACCACCGCTGTATCATTTTGAAAATCGCCGCGCCGAGCAAGAACATGAACGGTCGGTCCTTCTGGGGGGAGAGCATCTTGATCGACCTTCGACAAGCGCATGCCAAAACAAGCGCAGCCCTACCCTATCGCAGAACTTCTGCCATACGATCGTTGCTGGAACGTTCCCCGGTGGTACAGGTGGCTACCGCCGGGCGCCATATACACGCAGCCTGCATGTGACAGCTCAGCCTCGAAGCAAACACTGCTGTCCACCATGGAAAGCACCACAGCAAGCTTGCTCTCCCACCTGATGAAGTATTCCATCAGCACAGGGCTCTTTCCTTTCTCGATCCCACCCTCCCCTGCCTCCCCACGCTTGTCTCCCCCCGCCTGCTCATAGCCGCTGCTCTCGCTACTGTCCGGCCTGACCGTTGTGGCTGCCTCGCGTACGTGTCGCAAGCGACTTGTTTTCGATCGCAATCCTGCCGCCGTTCCCGCTGTTTTCCCTCTGTGATCGATCCTGGCAAATGGCGAAGCGACAAGCTGGAAACACACCCCGTGGCCTATCAGAGCGAACGGCAACGCCCAACCAAGCACAGGCACGGGAGCCATACAGGTAGAGGCAGAGAAGTGCAGTGGCTGGTGGTGTGCAGCAAACATGGCATGTCGAGTCAGGCCACATGGGCAACCAATTCATCGCATATTGCGCAGCCCCTGGCAATCAACTTGAACACAACAGGGGTTCCGGGCAATCGTTTTGGTGCATGCACTCCACAACATAGCGTAGCACGCACTACCAGCAGCGAACACCCCCGCGGAAGATCGCAGCACATGAGAGAGGGTGAATTCCGTACACTAGCACCAAAAATGATCCAGTTGAGAGCAACCCAAGACGATGTACGCTCCGAAACGGAAAGGACACCGCTCACGTCTTGACGGCTTCGAGATCGAGATCTTCAAACTCGTCAAGGAGGAGGCGGCTCCGGAGCAGTGGAAGCAGTGGTTTCGAGCACCTCTGGAGCATGCTACTGCCAGAGGAAACCTGGATCTCTTCACACGGTTAATGGACGCTGGTGCCGACGGGGAAGCAGGCTGGCGGGGTTGTCATGGACGAACACTGCTAGGTGCGGCTGCATGCGGCAACAATAGCGACAAGATGGTGCGGGCTTTGCTCGAGGCTGGGGCGAGGAGGGATGTAAACGTCCGCTTCGGGAATACAAACGAGTCCACCCTCCACGTTTCGGCAGCGCGGGGTGCTGAAGCCTCATGCACGGCGCTCATGATCGCTGGGGCAGACCCGAATCTACGTGATTGGGAGGGTGCAAGTTCACTCCACCTCACTGCCAAAGCAGGGCACCACGGAGTTGCAGGTATCCTTCTTCTGAAACGGGCCCAAGTATAGATAGATGCGAGGACGCATTTCGGCCGCACTCCTCTCCACCTGGCGGCTTCCGAGGGCCATACGCTGTGTATCTCTGAGCTTTTGCTGGGCGGCGCAGAGAAGGACGTGGATGATTATGAAGGTGAAACCCCACTGTTCACGGCGGCAGAAACCAACCATCTCGGAGGTGTCGAAAAGCTGCTATAGCTGCCGGTGCCAACCCCGGCATTCGTGCCAACAACGACTATTCTCCACTCGAGATTGCTGCAACCAGCGGTCACGCGACCATCGTGAAAGCCTTCCTTGACGCAGACAGCAGTGAAGTCGACGCCACCGATGATGGCGGATACACAGCCCTACACTGCCGTGCTACTGAAATAGAAGGGAAACCCGTCGTTGACAACGGCGATGCTGTCCGTGTGTACTGTTGGAAGCCGGACCTGATGTCAACGCGAAGACCACTAGCAACAGTTGCCCCACGCCTCTGCGTGTTGCCGTAGATCGTCGGATAGCATCGAGAGGCACCATCTGTGCCTTGTTGGAGGGAGGGGCCAATTTCATTTCGCGCGATAATTATGGCCAGACGCCGCTGCACGAAGCTTGCTTGTGGTCAAGTGTGGCGTCTGTGAGGCTCATGCTGCGTTGGGGGGCAGATGAGAAACTCATGAACAACGTGGAGACACCCCTGCAGATGTGATCGGAGTGTGGGAAGATAAAGGCAACAACGACGCAGGATTCGAGGTCGACAACCAGCTCATTCGCCGAATGCTGGCATCCGCTCCAGCCGATAGGTCATGGCGTCGCCGCGGCTGGCTGGTGCTGAGCCGTTCCTGCCCGACGACGGTGCAGATCGGAAACTGCAGTAGCAGCGGTAGCTGCGCCGGCAGCAGCAAGGGTTGCTCCGCCAAGGTGGTGCGGGTCAGCGGCGAGGGTTCGGGTGGGGATGATGAGGAGACGGAAGACGACATGATGGTCGACTTGAGGGATTTTGTGGGCAGACTGGTCGGACTGGAGGGTGATGACTTGTTCCGCTTGGTGGTGGGCTTCCTGTGAGGTACTAGGTACGAGGGAGGGTACGAATTATGCTGCGGGTTGATTCTTATTTCGTTGCCATCAGAGCGAAAATGGGCCACGTATTCTCGTGAGTACTGCCGTGTATATGCGCGGGACTTGCGGCAGATGTTTATCTCGAATGCTTCGCATCACTGCTTCCTTGGTATTGACATACAAGGGAGGTTGGTCGGATTGGCCCCCATGAAGTTTTGCTGCAGAGATGATGCGTACCGTGTGCATCGTTTCACACAGCGTATGGATAAAATCTGAACGAATTTCATTTGTTTGAAACAATCGTACCGGGGTGCGAAACGAACGAGGGTTTTGAGCGGTGTTGGCTGAACAAGTAATATCTGTACTGTCGCGGCCGATCGGCTGCCTCTTTCACCTGTCGGGAGCGAGAGCTAACTACTGCAGTTCCCTTCTCTTTGGGTTGTGTGCTGTGATGTGCTGTGGGAGGCTGTGCTTAAACGAACGAGGGTTTTGGGCGGTGTTGGCTGAACAAGTAATATCTGTACTGTCGCGGCCGATCGGCTGCCTCTTTCACCTGTCGGGAGCGAGAGCTAACTACTGCAGTTCCCTTCTCTTTGGGTTGTGTGCTGTGATGTGCTGTGGGAGGCTGTGCTTCAGCCTGTAGGGAAACCATTGGTGTCGTGCTGTAGCTGGCCATGCCACTCAGACGTTTAGTGGATGCGTCCATTCGACTTGTCGCACAAACCTGTTGTCCTGTGCGCACCGCTGGCGGTGCAATTCATTTTTTTTTATGTGTAGCGATATTTCCGGATTGCAACACTCTCGCGCTCTCACCTTTTGATGACGTTGACGGCGTGGACTTGTAAGAGCATGTAGTCTCTCTGTTTCTCTTGCATAATTGCGCAGACGGAAAGTGCTGTCGATAGGTATGCCTCTGACCATGCTTCTGTTTTACCTCGTGACTATTCCGCATGTTTGGTTTCAAGCACAGGGAAGAGGTCCGAGCGGTGTCCTCTTCTCAAGCCAAACGTCGCCGCCTCATTCTTTGCGGCAGCAGGTGGCGACCGCACTTTTTGGACGGTGCAGATATGGGCTGCAGAGTTGGTACAGAGCAGGTGTGAAAGGACTGAAGCCCGGGGCGAGCTGAATCTTAGTTGTCGCTTGAGGGTGGAGTTATGTGCGAGAGGTCCTCCTCCCTATTTTGCCCCTGATATATTTATGACGCGTTCGGCCCCCCTCGAACACGCTGTTGGTTGTTGGTTTGCTTCATGTACGCCTTGTCTGCGATGCAGTGTTTCTTTTTTGTTTCCTGTCTTCTCGCTTGCGATTCGCCTGTGGGTAGGGCGTTCTCTTCTCTTGATTTCTGTAGGTCCGTGTGTACAAGCAAAATCTGGGACGAGCCCCCTACTTGATCCCTTGAGTGAGGTGTTCTTGCTGCCGCCGGCAGGATGTGAGCCGGGCGATGGCAATTTCTCAATGTGAATGTTTTGAAGGACAGACCACGCCTGTTGCTTGGACTCGGACCATTGCCGTGTTTCTGTCGGGCTGCTTCCCCGCAAATTGTTTCCCGTTTGTTCTGGGTGGCTTGGAGCGTACGTCGACCGAAAGATGGGCATATAATACATGTATCAATGGCGTGTTTTGCGAGAGGGGCGTCTCGTGTCCTCTTGTCGTCCATACATGTAGCTCCTACTCTGTTGCTTCTGATGCTGGGTCTGTTGCGAGACACGTGGGTAGCGTTGCCTCTCTGACGACAGGGTGCCAGATGCAAGGCACGACGTCGCGTGGTATTGGCGCGATACATGTAACATTCGGGATCGTCGGGTTTTTTCTTGGGGAGGGCGGTGGGGGGGGAGGGTGCTGAAGTTTCCACCGGGTCAGGTGAAGATAACGGTCTCTGGTCGCAGTGATGCCGAAGCTTGGGACTCGATCGTTGCGAAGACCGCCGCAGTAGAGCACACTAATTCACCCGTCGCCTCCCCACCACAGGATGCATCTCACACCATACAATAGCACGACCGTCTCAGTCAACCAACGTCAATCACGCAGGGGGGGCGCAGAACGCACAGCGAAAAGAGCAAATACCCAGCCCGAAGCTGTTTGCGTCGGGCCTATCGTCGTTTGGTTGCAGCATTTCCAAAGGGCTGAACGTCGTCATGAAGGACGTGTCTAATCGTCAAGTAGTTGTGCAAGACGACGCAAGTTGTACAGGCAATGAGGGTAAAATATGATCGCCCCGCTTTGTTCTCTGACGAAGCACATCCCCAGCTATACCCAAAACGTGTCGCCACACGGGAATGGCTGTGTTTTACCTTGTGAACTTACCCCTGAACCTTCCCCCAAAGTACGATGCTGCGAGACGTTGGTAAGCCTGCTGGGTGTTGTGGGATTACACGCGTAGCGATCCCTGAAGACCCTGATGAAGACTCACTTGTTTATTAATCTCTTGGAACAGCAGTGCTTGCGGACTCTGAGTCCTCGCTGCCGTCCCTACGATGAGACATACCAAGAAAGGAAAGCAGGAGCAAGACCGCGCGGTAGAGATGTAGCCAGTGGAGCAAAAACGAGCTCTCACGCTAGCAACTGAGAAACCAAAGAGCCGAGGGAAGGCTAAAATCCTTTACTGCAGACGACGCCAAATGTTGTGGGATTACACGCGTAGCGATCCCTGAAGACCCTGATGAAGACTCACTTGTTTATTAATTTCTTGGAACAGCAGTGCTTGCTGTTGCTTTGCTCTCAAAGGTAGACTGAGCACAGAGGGGGAGGACATGCTCCCTCTAAAAGGGGTCACAAAGGTCCTGTCCCCTGTTTTATCCTTCCATCGGGAGTTACATCTCCCGCACTTTCCTCTGGGAATTACTCCGCAATACCGTTGGCACTGGCTACATTCAAATCCCATAACATGGGGAGGTATCGATGAGACACCTTGTCACGTTCGGGCTATGCTATCTACGTATTTTGCTTCAAGCACTCCCAAACAGATAGGACGATTGACACCATACGATGTATTGTTCTATCGTCCCAATGTGATACACCGGTTGTATATGCAGAACGTCGGTACCAACATGTAGCATCCCAAACACTACGCACATGTGTTGTTCGCTTGCACTACGCAGCGAAGCACGTTGTGTGGGTGTGCAACCTACCCGGAGGCCCCTACCCGCAGAAGTTTTCTATCTAATCACCATCCACGCACGATTGATGCCGTCCCATTGAAGGTGATGGTAACCCAACAAATGTTTCCGTCTAGCATACGGCAGACAGGGTTTTGTCTGTACCACTTAAGCGGCGCTTCCACGTAACCCCTGCTACATTCTTGCGTGGCTCACCACTATCACCCTCCACAACATATCAAAAGCGCACAATATCCCGTACTAATGCACAGGTATTGTGTAGATGGCGCGCACCGAATCATCATGACCTGTCCCATTCAACGGCTTCAAAGGTGAAAAGTCGTCCGACCAAGTAAAGAAAGCCTTCTCCGGAAAGCGCGAATAGTGGCGTCAAGTCCCGGTCCGCCGTCAAAAGGCATCATGTATATTGTCGCACAACTGCCGGTATAGCCTTTTGAGGTAGACGCGTTTGACGGCGGATTCAGGATTGCCGCGGAGGCAAACGAGCTATTAGAACGGGCACTACACAACGAGAGAGACGGGAAACACATATTTTGGTCATGTGCAGTAAGGCTAAAATCTCATCGAAATATGAAAACCCCTCCCGACCATCCATCCATGCGGATGTGGTACTCCTCCGTGCTCTGCGACAAAAAAAACGTTGCCACAAGCCGGCACAGGCACTCAATATGTGGTGCGTATTACAAGTAAAAGAAACAATTTAGTTACGGGGTAAGTCTCCACACGCACGGAAAAACCAATACTAGTATTTCATTTACGAGACAGACATATGTCTCCCGGTTCTGCGCAACTGGCTCACCATGTTCTTTCTGGTGTGGAGCACACACCAGGCTAAACCTCTCACGAGAGCGGGAGTGACGTCACGGCACGAGACGAACGCTACTAGTTAAGTTCGAGGTAGAGGTGGAGATGTGGAGCGAGATTGGGAGGCAGATAGCCCGCTGTTCAAGGGACTTTCGCATGTCCACTGGCCCTAATCTGTGCCAACGCCCCGAAGGTAGGTCTCCGACAGGCCATCTGACGTCACAATCTACCAGACATTCGGAGGTGACGTTTACAAACCAATGATTGAACAAGGCTGGGCAGGGCGAGGAAACGCCCTAAAAGAAACCAAACGAGAGCCCGTGAATGTAGGGAAGGTAAAACTGCGAGCGGTGTTGAATGAATGGGATGAAGAAAGAAAATCCCAATCACGTGTGGTGGGCTGCAAAGAGAACACACTAATTATTGGAGTGCCATGGCCAAAAACAAGAAAATGAGTTTCTGATCCGCGGAGACGCAAAGGAGGCAATACAGCGATGGGTTCGCTACTCCAGTAATGACAGTATGAACAGAGTAGCGTTTTATCTTCCACTTTTCTTCGGACTCTTTCCGCGTGACGCCCCGCACTCGTGATGGCGCGGGACAACCGAACGCACAGGACTCTAGGTAACATTAGAACAGTAGCAATCAACGTGAGAAGGCTATCGTAGTAGATCTGAATCTACGAACCGATCGGCTGCAGTTCGCGCGGGAAAAAAAAGACCCCCGGCCCAACAGAAAACCTCCATTAACCTTGTATTCAACGGAAGGGACCAAGGCAGCCTCACTTCAAAGGCAACATCCGAGGAAAGGCCAGCACCTGAGAGAAATGACGAAGAACCCATCTGTCACCCCCAGCACCAAAGCTCAAATTTGAGCGGTTTCTACTTGAGACCATCGCCCAAAATTGAGCTGTGTCTACTTTATTGAGGGCACCGGCAAGCGAGACGTCGTGTTGGACATCGGATGACTTTCTTTCAAGTAAGCCAGTCATATTTCCTGGGCAAATAAGCCAGACTTCCAATGGGGCTGGTTGGGGCATACACCCGAAACGCCTTCCTCGTGCCACCCGTTTGCTCACGAAGACAGCACGACTGGAGCTCTCTCCACTTACCAAAAAAAAAAGCTTTCACCTCTTGTTCCTTCCTCGCAAGTGAAGCATTCATTGGTTAGAAGCCAAAGGCTGGCAACTTCCCTTGTCGACTGGTACAACCCCACGCTTGTCTTCAAAAGCACTTGTCGACTGGTACAACCCCACGCTTGTCTTCAAAAGCACAGCACAGGGCAATTCCTTCACTACAACATTGAGAAAACAACAGCAATCTGCTTGCCATCGAAAGGGACAAACAACATTTCTCCTCGTCAAAGGCGATAGACGCCCACAAAGTCGATCACTAGATTCTGAAACGACGGGTCTGCGTGATCCTGATTGTGATTTGGGGGCTGCCTCTTGAGTACTACATTCGGCCAAAACCCTAAACACCTTCCGATCTTCTTGGTCGAACGTCCGGGGCAGGCGCAGGCTCAACACCAGGTCCCCTTCCTCGGAATGCATCCAGAACGAATATACTGCACAAACCCATTAAACTACCTGGATCGCGAAGCGAATCTGGCCCGCCGCGTCGGCAGTCGAAGGTACCAGCGGGGTCACCATGCCCGTGGACAAATCGGGGTACACGTCCAAGGCTGAAAGAAGTGAGCGAGCACGCTGGGCTCCAGTCGCTTCGCGACCCGGTCTTTTTCCGGACGCAAAAAGTTCCGGGTGGGAACTACCAAGCGTTGGCTTTGCGCCCCGTGCCCCGGGGAAACGAGCCCGCTTCGCTCACCATAGACGCAATTTAAACGACGACCCCACACCCTAACCAACTATTTCGCCCCGGCTACGGACATACTTCGTTTGTGGGGACTCATACATCTACCTCGTTTTATGGTATTATAGTCGAGTGTCTAGTTTGATACGGTAGGCTCTAATGCGTCTGCCGGTTCTAACTCGTCCCCCGCCAGCTTCGCAGTGTCGTCCCCCTCCACCAGTGTATTCTTGTACCAGTCGTCAGCCGACCATACTGGTGTTGTAGGCGGGTGATGTTGTTGTTGTTGTCGGCGAGAAGATCAAGCAGAAAGCCACAAGTCGAACACGGGGGTGTTAAAAGGAAAGGCCGATTGTTCCGCAACCAGATGTGAGTCTGGTCGGCTGATCACACCGCGCGTTGTATCGTCAAGGCCAATCAGAAGAAAACAATAACAGAAACGGCTGACGCCAATGGTAACACTGCAAGCACGTGAAAAAGCGTCCGTGTCGATATCCCTACACGGAATGGATGATTTGTGTTGCTACATTGTCGTGTCGAACGCTGCTCCGCACTGGCATGCATGCAAAAACAAGACGACTGCCGGCGTCGATCAGAAGAGGTGTAGCGATACTAAACGGCACCATCAGTGTCAGATGACGCGCATAAGTACGTTGTCGCGTGCAGACGGTTGTGAGCGCGGGGCCTAGAAAATTAAGACAAGGGGCCGTCTCCGCCACAGCTGCAAAACTTGCAATAAGGAACGCGTGGGAGTAAACAGTCACATCACCTGCCGTGTGGGCCCCGAGCTTGTGCTTCATGGGCTTCGCGGCATTCACTCGCAGCACCTTTCCGTATAACTCGGCCCCTGAGCGTGCACGACACGGGCGGGTGCACGCGCAGGCAGGCGACAGAGAGGCGCAGAAAAAGCAACACAAAAGTTGCCGTTGCACAATAGGGTTGTTAATACAGACGCAAGATGCCCTTCTCCGTTGCCTGGCAAGACCACCCGCAATGGCGTCCCGTGTGCCACTGCGGCGCTAGAGATTTAGTTCGGGTTGTAGCATCGCGAGAGACGGCACGGCGAGTCTATCGAGAAAAGTGATTCACCCAGTCGATCGCTCGAGCACGAAGACCAGCCGCAGCAGCTCGCCCTGCCAGGCTGTAAAGCGCTTGGTTTGAACGTCGAGAGACGAGTTGTTAGAGAAAAGGATTTCAGCTTTTTTGTTCTGCGGCTGTACCAATGACGCAATTTTCTCGGGTTAATCTTCAAAGTGAGAATTTGACACTGTTGCTGTACATAACTAACATACACATTCAGCATCGGCCGCTTTGGGTAAACATGATTCAAACGTCTGGGCTCTCAGGCAGCGATGAGGAGCAACAACAACGAATGACACTCAATCTTACCGTCCATGTTGTCTATTGCCGCTTTTGCGTCCTCCTCCACCTCGAACTCGACGAATCCGAAGCCTCGGTGGGTATTCGCCACGTGGTCCTTTGGAAGATTGACCTTCGCCAAACGGTAACGAGAAGGACATGGTTGATAGTAAACGGTTGGTACCCGTGTTGCAGGTAGTGTAGCCGTGTTGCAGGTGGTGGACTAGCCGCGCCCTGTGACAAAAACGTTGTTCTTAGCACCAGCTGGTATGAATGGTACGATTCAGTGTATAGGCTTAAACAAACTCAACATAAGGCCATGTGTCCAGTCGGTTTTCCCCCACTCACTGAAAAGACTTCAGCACATCCCTCTCGACAGCTGTGGCAATATATCTCGAACGGGTAGTCTCTCTTCGAGGTTGTGTATACTTCCTAGAAAAACCGTGCTCAACATACTCTGACACAAATATCCGGCGTTGCCACTAGAGGCCTGCCTTTCTCTCTCTCTTCACATCTCTCTGTTTCTCTCTTTCCGCAGGCGCGGATTCGGATTCGGTCGTAGCCCAAGCAGAGCGGGAGACGTCGCTTCCCACGGCAGCACGAACCCTCAGTCAACGCATCGCTTGACACGCCAGCTGGCTGGTGGTGCTCATGGCCCTTGATTTCTCTCTGTCTTCTACTTTTGGCGCCCATGCAAACTACGGGATCGAGCGTATCAAACACACGTGCCTCGTGTAGATCAGAGTCATACAAACCTGTGGCGGTACTTGCGGCGACAGGTGACAGCAGCAGCACACGCGGTCTGCTTTTGCATAGGGCAGCCGTGGTGATGATCTACGTTGCTAGGAGCCATCACGTGTGTGTGCAGAGACAAAGGCTGGGCCCTTCGTGAATGTAGAACCTATTGTCAAGTGTAGTGCAGATATGTAACAAACATTGCGGTGGAACCATCCCCCAATCATCCCTGCAACTAACTCGGCTATTCAGCACCCATGTGCCCACATGCCAACCTACGCCAATCAAAGGGGTCTATCGGTTCCTGTGGCGAATGGTCCTTTCCGAATGACACTTCGTTTCAAAAGCTGCGGTCAGCTCAAGTGCTTCAACACCAAACAAACTAGTGTATGTACTTCCCTCGAAGATAACACCCACTGTCAATCGGGAGTGCTTGTTCCCCTTCGAGGACCGCTATGCCACTGCTGTTCGTGGTGCGGGCTATCTACGACCTCGCAGGTGGAGGGTGCAAGACCATCCCTGAGGTTTCTGTGCAACCGATGTGAGGTAACGCCCTGCTTCACGGATCAAAGCTCCACGCTACGCTCTGACCTACTGCGGGTGCTACTGGCCGAAAATCGCGTGCCTGCCGTTGCCGTAGACTATGTAGACGGTACGCAGGTCTCTTTGGTGCTGTACCCTTACTCACCTCAACGATATCCCCGAACGGTACGAAGGCGGCGTGTAGGATCTCCTCGTTCACTTGCTCCTCCAGCCCCCCCACGTACACATTCCGCTTTGGCTGCGCCTCTTTGGGCATCCTGTGTATGCCTAACGAAGACCGGCCCTCCCAAGCAGGCCTTATTAGCGAGACTCGACTGCCCTACAGGAGTAGTGTCCGCCGCGTGTGCTTGACACTCCGACGATATTTTTCGCTCTCGCACGAAATCACGTGCCTAACTCGCTGGAAAATCGAGCGCTCCGGAGTACGACAGATATGTGAGGGAAAATGACAGCAGAACGACAGAGGAGAGGTGGTGGTGCTCCTTGCCTTTGGCAGACACAACGCGACAATGGCAGCAAACCAGCAAGTGAACCAGCCACCTGGGGCTCCGCAGTTGCAAGGATTTCTAAGAGCAGGGGTAGAATATCGCGACGCGTGCCCGCTCGGTAGCCACGCCGGTTGCGCCGCATCCCGGGGAGCGAGCGCCCAAGAAAGGACAGCTAGACGGCAGCGGTCTGGTATGTGCATGCGCGTCTCTGTTGCCCCGTGCGTTGTGAGCTTGTGAGTCGAGAGAGAGAGAGTGTGCTTGCGTCGGCAGGGAGAGAAAGCGGCGCAATATGGCAGCAGCACCCGAGGTCTGCCCCTGGCAACGGCACTGGGACGACACTGGCACCGTCTTCTACTACAACGAGAACACTGAGGAGTCAGAGTGGGATGTCCCGCCAGGATGGGAAGCCCACTTCGCCGGTCTCGACGAAAAAGCCAGCGGCGGTGCCGATGGCGGAGCCAATGGCGGAGCCAATGACGACGCTGGTGGTCGCGATGGTAGTGCTGGTAAAGCATACGAAGCGGAGGATGTGGGAGGGGCTGACCAGCGCCAAGTGGACGATGCGGAGGGCGCGCAAGCCCTGTTAGGCCTCTCCCAGGCTTCTTCCGGGGACCAGGGCGAGGAAGCCTTCGTTGCGGTTTCACCCCCTGATTCTCCAGCGGAAAAAGAGGAGAAGCGAGAAGGGGAGGAAGGCTCGAGGGCGGGGTCATCCACTGAAGGTACTCCGGCTGCTGCTGCTGCTGATGCTGATGCTGCTGCCGTTGGCTACGACGAGGCTGGTGCCGCGAAGGAGATCGATCGACAGACGGGAACACAAGAAGACAGGGGCGCCCCTGACGCCGCTGATGGTGCTGAAGCCGCTACTTGTGCCTGGATCCAAAGCCGAGACGAAGAAAGCGGCGATGTTTTCTACTACAACGAGGTCACCGAGGAGTCTTCGTGGGACGAGCCGGAGGAGTATACGAAATTCCACGCCGCTGCCGCTACCGCCGCCACCGCCGCCGCTGCTGCTACACCCGCTGCCGCAGACAGCGACAACGACTCAGAGCAAGAGTACTACCCGCAATCGCCAGCGGAACCGGTGGAGAAGGTCGAGGAGGGAAGGCTTAACCTTTCGCCGGTAGTGGCGGATGCGTCCGCTGCCGGAGGTTACGACGGCACCCCCTCCCCTCACTACTCCCCCGAGGACGAAGAGGAGGAAGAGGAAGCCAGGTCCTCATCGCCACGGTCCCCATCCCCGTCGCGGGCGGACGGGTCCTCCACCGCTGCAAGTCGGACCCGCGGCAGCAGCAAGGACCAGAGGAGCCACAGCAACCAACCTTCCCCGTCGCCGGAGCTAGGGCTGTCGTTCCCGGCGTTCGGCGACGACTACTCTCCCAACCACGACGCGGAATGGCAGGTGAACGAGGAGGAGGAGCTGGAAGGGGGCAAAAATTCGGCATCGCCGAACGAGAGCGAAGCGTCCGCGGTCGGCGGCCTGTCCCCCGTTGTCGAGAGCGCCGGGGGCGCTGCTGCCGGGGGCGGTGGACAGAAGCAGGGGTTGAGGAAGGCGGGGGGGAAGGGGAAGGAGAACTCGGTGGAGGACGGGAAGCCGCAGTACTCGGAGGAAGAGATGGCGAAGATGGTGAAGAGCGCGGAGAGCAAGATCGCGGATTGCGAACGTAGGGTGAGTTCAAGATGGTGTGCTGGTGTGTGGTTCCACGACATCATTTTACCAGAGTGTATTTCTGCGCGGCTACTTCCGAACATCGGGTATGAGGCATATGCAAATCTGAAAATTTGGGTCACATTTTTTTGGTGCTTTGCGTATTTGAGTCGAGAGGTTGATTCAACATATAGTTTGACGGGAGGGGGGGGCTGAAAAGGAATGGTCGCAACAACGGATCGAAACCCACACTACACACGGCTGCTGTACATCGGGATTGGAGTGGTGATGCTAGCCTACCCCCTTACCCACGCCCGTTACACCCGCTGGTTTCGTATGTTCGTTCTCTCTTCTGACCAAGAACGGGCCTTTCTCAGGCAGGAAAAGGAGAAAGGTTTCTAGTTTGACACATGAATGGCGGGAATCACCAAGCTATGATGGCGATGCAAGTTCCACCCCACACCACCTTAGAACTGACCCCCCTGTCTGCCCCCCTCCCTCGATCGATGGCGCGAAGTTGGAGGAGAGGGACGCCATCATGGAAGTCGACTTCACCGCCAGAGTCGCGGCCTACCAGAGCGCACGGGAACGGCTGCAGCACTTGAAGGGTGAAGCGCCCAATAGGCAGGCGTTCCTCAAGGTGACCTACATAGACTCGTGTGTTTATCCGGGTCGCTAGGCACGGTGGTACGTGCCTGTTTTTCCCTCCGAATCGAGACCTGGATTGTGGCATGCACAACATACGTGCGCTTGCGCGATGGAGAGTTTTCCTCTCGCGTGAGAGTGCACGCGTATTGTTGGAGCGAAGAGTATCGCGTCTGTCTCTCACGCGCAACTCGCTACGATGAAATCTCCGATGCACGACGGGCGGCAGAACGGAACCAGAACGGTCCATCATCTTGTCATTGTCTCTCTCTCTCCCTCCCTAACTCTCTCTCTCTCTCTCTCTCTCTCTCTCTCTCTCTCTCTCTCTCTCTCTCTCTCTCTCTCTCTCTCTCTCTCTCTCTCTCTCTCTCTCTGTTTTTCTCTCTTGGGCATCTCCGTCTCGAATGTCGTCTTGTAGGAAACCCGTAACGCCAGCGTGAAGAAGCTCATCGCCGGGTACAATGGCTACGCACAGCAGGCGTCGATGGTGAACGATTGGATACGCGTGGTGAGACTGCCAAGGCAATAGTTCAGTCAGACAGATAGACAAACTGACGGAGGAAAGGGAGATACAATACACCATGGAAAATGGCGTCCATGGTGGGTGCTTGTGTTGCTGGCACAGACCGTAGTGAGATGTTTGGTGTAGCACTGGGTTGCTGGCGGTTTGATAGGGGTGACTGAGGGCAAGCGCAACCGCCTGCACCCAAGCGAGGCAGATGCACGATAGTAAATGCTACGTCTAAGCAACAACCGGGCCGCCGGTTGCTTTCTGTTCCGTTTACAGGCGACAAAGGGGGACATAGATACAGAGAGCCTGATGCTGCAGCAGCTCAAGAAGCTAATCAAGACCAACTTTGACGCGAAAAAGGTGTGTGTGTGTGTGTGTGTGTGTGTGTGTGTTTCTTTTTCGTTCCATTCTTGATCTAAGGTACCAGTAGTTTTTACCAGTTGTTGCTTGGTCCGGTGTGGTTGGGTCTGTTTGGAGCCGAGTCCGCCATTGAAAGTGTTCCCCGCGGCTAAATACGCTGGCGCTGACGTCGAATCAACTCGACCAGGAGACCAACTCGGCCGATTTACCCATTGCATTCGTTTTGCTGTGTCCAACGAAACACGCTCCCGGACGTCAGCACTCGACCATTCACAGCCTGTCCTTGCCTCGCAGCAGAACGCGAGAAGGTTTGTTTGCCCCGAGAATGCTGAGCGACGACAATCGCACACGGCGCTGGTGCAGAAGGAAATTAGCACGTGAACACGCGAAAGAGCTCTTGTCTCCAGAGGCTTGAGCCTTCCATCCTGCCTCCTCGGCAACCCCCCTGTCTGGAGTTCGCACGAACAAACGAATCGCTTTCTTGGGGGTTCGTCCCGGCCCGATCCAGTATTTTCATTGGTCGACCGCTTTCGTGGCACTTGCGAAGAAGCGCGCACGGACCCTCATACTAGATAGAGCAACTCACACCCCTCCTCCTCCTCCTCCTCCTCCTCCTCCTCCTCCTCCTCCTCCATTGCTCCGCGGGCGAGCACGAACAAGCCCACCTTAGCAGACACACACGCGCATTTTGTTTTTCGCGCTCTCCGCTTGTGCGCCGTCGTCGGCTTAGGTGGACACGCTCCTCGACTCGAGCATGCCCGCCTGGCTGACGGCCATGCAGGACGACACCGGCTGGAGGCGCACCCTGATAGAGCTGGCGAGGGAGCACAGGGCCTCCGCCCTCCTCCGCTTCGTGCTGAAGCAGCTCAGCGACATGGGCTACCACAGGGAGATCGCTTCGGTCATAAGCGAGACTGACCTTTTTTCGGTGTTTAATGGTGAGGCATGTGTAGGGGGTTTTCGTGTTTCGATGGACGAGAAAAGTAAACAGGTGTCTCTGTTTCGATGGAAGAGAAAGGTAGGTACATATGGTTGTGGTGACAACACACACAGAGAGGCAGAGGAGAGAGGCAGGAGCATGGAGGAAGACTGCCCTTCTTTTTCACACCGTATCCCCCCCCCCCCGCCTTGTACCTGTTCTTGTTCCGCTCTCCGTCCCATGTCTTACACCGTTGTTTCCCCGAAAACAGGGGTGCTGAAGGATGCCCTGGCTAGAATACCCGCGGACGACGAGGTGCAAGCGACGGAGGCACTGGCGGACCTCAAGCGCATGTGCTGCAGCACTTCTTACATGTTCATGTATTCTCAGGTGCGCAATACGCGTGCTGTGTACCTCGTTTGTGTCCCGTGGGGGTGGTGATATGTATGTGCCATGTACATACCCCTTGCCCGGAGAAGGTCGCGGCACTCACCAGCCTCTGCTGCTGCTGCTGCTGCTGCTGTGGCTTCAGCCCGAACCAAGTGTGTTCAACTTTGCTTCTGGTTTGTTGCGAGGAAGGTGTGCTCAGGCTGGCTGCGCATCACGCTTGCGTCTCGCACATAGCGCTTTGCTGACGATACATCGGACTTGACCCGTCTTGGCCTTACAGTGCCGGAGTATGCGGTATGCGTGATGATGATTCTGCGTATCCCCTCCATCGCCGTCCGCACCCGTCGTGCATGTTCTTGTTTTTTTGTGCTGTAGCAACTCCTCATCAACCTGGAGAGGGCGGCAGAAGAGGAGTCACGACAAGAGGCCGCCGCGGCGGTAAGAGCTGCAATAACAGCGCTCCTCCTCTTGTTGTTCTGATGTTTTGTTGTGTCGTACTTGAAACCCATGCTGCCGGTTGTCCGCACGATTGCGACCGCATTGTTGCTTCTCACGTTTTTCTGAGCTATGCTCTATTTTTTCCCCTTGCTCTGTTGAGTTTTCTCTCTAGAGTTGTGCTTCATACATTTATTTGTATTGAATCGTTTTGCGCAATTTCTTCCTCGATTTGTGGCAGGATTCTCTCGTGTTCACGGATGGTTCGAGTTTTTGGGGGTGTGAAACGTGCGTTCGACGGAGGGTCCCGAGAATGAAGAGCTGAGGTTTGTTTTTCAAGCATTTCTTTGTTTGAGCTTTCGTGTTTGAAAAATGTCTCGTTTGATCGCGTCGTGCACTGGTCTCCCCGCGAACGCCACAGGAAACCGCCAATAGATTCAACGGAAGCGGCAGCGGTAGCCGCAAGCGGGGCAGAGAGGAAACCTCCCCGTCGTCTACAGCGACAGGGGTTTCCACTCGAAAGGAAGCCGACGGCAGGGATGGAGGGGAGACGGGACGGAACTCCGCGGCGAGAAAGTACAAGCGGCTTCGTCAAGAGCTCGTGAGCATCCGGTCTTGTTTCTGATTGTTGGGTGTTTTTTTTCTTGTGTTTTTCGAAGTGGCCTTGGCGAGGGAGAGGAACAACTTCGTGAGAGGTTTGCTCTTCACGCTTGGTGCTCGAGTGACTTATGCTCATAGCATACATTTCGGCGGCGCTGCCGACAAGGAGACTTTTTCCAAAAGTTAATAAGTGTTTGGTGGACATCCACCCATGGTAAACAAGTCCGCGTCAGCCTCTCAACAACTTATTATAGGTTCTCGACACTCGTTTTCCCCCCCTGGAATGTACAGACAATTTTCTCACACGGCCAGCCGAATCCCCCCCCCCCCCCCCACCCCCCCCTCGGTCCCCCCCCCCCGGTGTTTGCTATCGGGGTTGGGTTTTCGTCGCTTAGCAACGACGTAGTAAAACAAGCCGCCCCCCCCGGTGTTTGCCATCGGGGTTGGGTTTTCGTCGCTTGGCAACGACGTTGTAAAACAAGCCCTCCCCTCGGTGTTTGCCATCGGAATTGGGTTTTCGTCGCTTGGCAATAACGTTATAAAACAAGCCAATTCACTTCGTGAAGTCGGCAACCAGGTTACCGTTATTAGTTTTACCTCTGATTTTTGTTTCTGCGGTAACCATGAATGGTGGTCGAGTAGATCATGTTGTGTGGGGTTGAGAACCCTCACTCCGCGCAACGGGGGATGATCGCACCACGTTGTGTTAAATTGGAAAAACATCCTCGAGGCAGTTACACAGTGCTTATAACTGTCTCTGGAAGTGAAAGCGCCAGAAAATAAAGTAAGTCATACGTAGCTGTCATCCGTACGCAAGGAAGTAAGCACAAGATGCCGAACACCCTTAGCAGGATGCAGCTCACTCTTAATGCGACTCGCCGAATACCTCACGGCGCTTCGCGCTTGGTGATGTGAGAGCCTGGTCCGGTGAGAACCCGGCGTGCTCCGTCCCGAGATGTGTAGGGATGCGAGGT